GAAAACATCAAACTTGCTTGCTGATAACAGCCATCTTGTTTCTTTACTTACGGCCGTAAGAACATCGTGCCAGCTTATTTGCTCACGACCAATGAAAAACCGCCACAGAAATGGCCATACTCTGTCTATAAAGGTACTCTAATGTACGCTGGGGACAGGATTGCCTTGTCAGTCAGGGAACGCTAGGAAACCAGGGAATTGTCAAGAAATTTTAAAGTCAGAGAAAACTTTGGAATGTCGCGAAAGAATTGTCAGATTGTTCAAGAAAAGTTCCGAATTGCAAAATGCAGTCCAACTTTCGGAGCTCGAAGGATGTTTTCCGAAGGTTTCGAGTTTCCCTCTGAATCCTCGAAGGACTGTAATAATTTAAAGAGGATATAAATTTTCACTAGAGGAATACTTAAATGCGCTCTGTTCTTGCTGCAGCGCAGTGTTTAACACGTAAGCTCATTTCGCGCATCAAGCATCAATCAGATAACGTATAATCAAGTCTCAAGACCGCTCTATTGTGGTTTTGTAGACCACGGACAATGCAAGGAAGCATCATAAAGAAACGAAAATAAAAACACTCTGAAATAATGTCTACCCGAAGACTGCAATAAATAGTGATTTCTTGGATTCATGCTAGTCCTGCTTCTGTTGTCTCAGAGAAATCTCCCTTTTATGGCGTCTAAGACCAAGAAAAACCGATATTCATCAGGGAATGAAAAATTTTAGGGAAAATCAGGAAATCTGTTCTCGAAACCGGGGACCTTTTCTTTTATAGTTTAGGGTCTTTTCGTTCTCAAATTTTGCAAAAAAATTTAGTACCTATTTTTATTGGAGTTTATGTAATTGCACCTGAGCCGTCATTATTGACCTCTTGAATGACGTATATGAATCTCCAAATTTTCATAATAATAGAGAAGCTTTTATTGGTCAGATAATATACATACATCAAGAACGCTTTTGGAATTAAAACTTTGCATGTGCGCTGTTGAATCAGCTGCGAGATGAAGAAAAGTCGACATTTTCATCTGGATATCCTCACATTTATATGGTTTTTCTTAGGAAAATCTCAGGGAAGTGGGAGAAAACTTCAGTCTCTTGTCAGAGAATGAGCTTTTTAAAATCAGAGCCTCTAGGTAGCAAGGAAGTAAAAAACACAAAGGTTTTATTTAAATTTTTTTATTTGCTTTTGAATGTATTATGCAACGGATCTGCGTATGCGGGAGGGAGGGGGTGTCATGACACCGCATCCAATCGTAACGTGACAATGCCAGCACTCATGAGGGCTGTTGAGTCAGGCGGGAAAATTAAGAACGGCGCCAGAAATTGATTAATTGAAGCCGTATAATAAATAATCGGAATTCCATTCGGAAGTTTCACATGATGTTGCCCTCAGCATGCGCACCAAAATGAGTTTTTTCAACCCTTTCAAAAATCACGATTACCCCTCTTCTTTTTTTTACAAAAACTAAGGGGTTAAATAAGATTAGAAAGGAAAAAAACGATGACGTCATGCTGTTGCCGCCATCTAAGAGATCCTCTAAGTTCGACCTCGTCAGGATCCTGTCATCGACTATTTTGACGCTGAAAAAACTGCAAAATCATTTTATTTTGGATCTACGAAGTCACCGAAGTCGGGACACGTAAAATGTAGATTGACGAAAAGCAACGCCTGGATATTCTCAGCTCATTCTTCAGAATCGGATCCTGCTGTGAGCTCCGTGAGGTATAAAATCAAAAAATATTAGCGACAAAGTACTGAACCTACGGTTGGAAAGGTTAAGGAAAACCATAATAACCTGGAAAAATCGGGGAAAAATTTTCAAAAGACTTTCGTTCATAATTTAATTTCAACTGCGTACCTGAAAATTTCAAGAAAAAAATCCATACATACCTTACCTCAAAAGTAAAGGTTTCATGGAGAGAATATGGCTTACGAATGCTTTTACGAATTGAAGTTTTTCACTGATATAAAAATGGTCGGTCAAGCATGATGTCTATTAAAATCGCCAAGAGTTTTATCTCGATTCAAGCTGAATTTTGCTAGGGACAAGAATAACAATAATTGGGACAAGGATAAGAGTAGCTTAAATGAAGCAGCATTATATTTGATTCAAGAAAAAGTATTCCTTGGTATATTTATATCTTAATATTTTTTTCCACTGTTCCTTAGCATGGCAGCTCCTAATGGCTTCATGTCCTATAACAGAAGAGGTGCCTCAAATGCTTGTCAACACTGACAGAAAGATTCTCCTCGAGTCCACAGGGAAGTTTTGGATCGGTGGCAAGTCGTGTCAATGATCGCTGAGAATCGTCCCATACTGCCGTGCTAAGGAAGAACCCCGTATGATCATTCAAGAGTTGCCAAATTTCCTTTGATGAAATGCTTATTCTTGAGGAAAATTACGTATATTTTTCCTTGAAATTTTCAGGAAATTTAGATCAAAATACGATCAAAATTCTCTGAAAAATTGGAAGAGAAATATTCATGAGTTTACCGGGAAATTCGTGTTTTATCAGAGGTGATTTGGCAACGCCCGATGGCTCATACGGCGTTCTTCCTTAGCACGGCGGCATAGATCTCAGGACTCGTGCGCACTGATTGGTAGGAATCTATTATAGACGGTTAAAAAAGTAGGCCACGAATAATATGAATGAACCCTTATCGTGTGCGCGAAAGCATATCAAGCTTGATAAGAAAAACCGAGCACCTGAAGTGACAAACAAAGTAATTGCCGTTTCAATTAAATGTAAGACACTTATTAGAATACTTTCTTGGAAAAGGAGATACTTGATTACTTTTCAGACTTGTTTCAAAGCTCAAGATACGGGATGATCCAAGCTCGTCTTTTTTTTTATTCAAAATATGACTTTTTGCGGTTAGGTTACCGCCGAATTATAGCTCCCACACAGAAAAATTTACCAACAAAATTATTCCCCCCCCCCTTCCCCCCCCTTCAATACAATGGTAACAATGTTCACGGTTTGAAAGAGGTGATAATCAGGCGTCGAGGACAATCATATGCACTTTACCGATTTCTGACCTCAAAAAAGAGGAAATCCCATTGCTTGTGTTGCGAGGGGTAGAAAGAAGATGTCAAATTTTCAAATGGCCCAAATTAATTTTCTTTAACTTCGTTCCTCACAGTCGCGCCAGTTATTGAATTTTCGCGTTTTTATGATCAAAAGTAAGTATGGGGTTCTGCCTCCCTCCCCCCGATATTTACTCAGCCCTTCTCAAGAAATGTGAAGGATTTTGAGAAATTAGTGTGTGACATTATTTTGTCACCTCTTACATTTTGATTCGGTTAATTTGTCAATAAAAACAGCTCAAAATTGCTCCCGAGACAACTCAATTTTTAAACATTTTCCGGACGAGGCTCCTCGGTGCCCCTCTAACGCCAGAGATATCCCCCGAACTCCCCTTCGGAGCTGGAGAGTCCCAATCATTCCTCCCCCCCCCCCATCCGTCTAAACAGGGTGGTTTAGTGTCCCCTAAACCTAGACCCCCTTTCCGAGGTGTCCTTTTTCCCCCGAGTTTCTAATTCCGGCGATGAATTCGCCCCGTTAAAAACTGAAATGTTTGGAAAATACCAGCGGGCCGATTATTGAAACTGATAGACAAAGCGATAGACACAGAAGACATAGGGAGTATAGAGCGATCCTATTGGTTGACATGGTTGGTTCTTATAGACTAAGGAAGAAAATGATGGACTAACTGTCCGGTCTTTGGTGGGTTGCCGTTAGTTAGTCCATTGCCACCACCCGCTTCCACCAATAGGATCCCTCCAAATCCCTTTTGTCGTCTTTGTCTATAGCTTTGTCTATCAGTTTCAATAATCGGCCTGCAGCAGCGAATTGCCGGCAGATTCGTCGCTGGAAATCGCCATCGGTTTCGCGAGTAAATATTTCCAGAACATGTTCGGAGCCTGGAGCGGTTCGAGTTCTTTTCAAACGAGACGGGAACAAAACATCTGAAACCAGTGTGACGTGACTTGCGCAAAGTTTGAAAACTTGGCTGCCTCTTTCTGCCTTGATAGCGAAGAGAGCAGTAAGTGCATGCCGGGATGAACCGCGAGACACATAAAAACATGTGCTAATCGTGGCTCATTCAAAAATGCACTTGCTGCTCTCTTCGCTGTCACGGCAGCTTTGTGGACCGGTCTCGTCTGTTCATCGACAAGCGTCACAAATTAGGCACAGACCGTCTCCTAATTGCACGAGTGCGCGCGGCGGCTCGTGGCGCGAGCAGGTTCGAGTGACGTCACCATGCCGTAGGATTCGCAGCGACAATACGTCGGGAATATTCCGCAGCCCTGAAATCTCCGCGTCAATGTGTCAGGGTCAATATTGCGTGCGTGAGTGCGGGTGTGTTGGTGTGTTTACGAAACCCAAGTCCGGGGTCTTCGCAAATGCCAAAATTTACATTTCCATGGTATAATATGAAATTTGGGCGTCTTAGAAGCCACAAAACTCAAAAAAAAAAAAAAAAAAATTGGGCGTCATTTTTGGGAGGAACCCTCCCTCCCCCCTCCCTTGCTCTTGTATTTTAAAAGTTGACCCCTCCAAGCTTCCTTTTGGGAGACAAACAGGGTAGATTTTGATGAATTTTAAGAAGGAAGTTTTTTTAAGTTAACCCCCCCCCCTCCCCCCCACACACTGTTATTTATCCTTTTTTTGTACGTTTTTTCTCTTTGACCTGGCCAAAAGTGACAAGCCAGTCGACCAGTCCAAAGCCAAAATTTTATCACTTAGCTTTATTCGCGATTTACCGGGTCCTTGAGGTTTTTTCACGGTACGCCTGGGTTTTTTATGGTTTTTCCTTCAAAATTCACCCTGCAAATATTGCCCCTACAGTTTTTCTTCTTAGGTCCATCTCTCTGCTCTGTTAACAGAGTTTACCAGGTTTTTATTCCCAAGTTGGTAATCTTGTGTAACTCAAGTTTTACCTTGCAATTAACTCTGGAACAAGTAAAGCAAACTCTAAGATTATTCTCTGCCTTTTTTTTAAGGTCCCGGTGTGGATGTACCAGCTCCTGACATGGGCACAGGAGAAAGAGAAATGTCCTGGATTGCCGACACTTACGCTAAAACCATTGGTAAGTTTTTCAAGAGGCAAATACACTTTGTTCAGTCTTTGCCTGAACAGGGAGCCTATGTTAGCTTTTTTTTTTTTAAATTAATTTATTTATTTATATTTCAAAAAATTGCGTTATAAATTTTTGAGTCACGACAAATGAGGGGCTTGGAGGACAAGGCGCATAAGTGCAGTTTTTGCTATTTCACGAAATAAGTGTTTGAAATTTCGAGATTACTTTTGGGGGAAAGAAAGTTCAAAGTGACTTTTTGATGCTTACAAATAGGAACTTCGAAGCGAATTCTTCACAGAACATACATTAAAACTAGTTTTACTTGAAATCATTATTATCTCAATTTTTTAAAAACTGCATGTATACGCCCTCCAAGCCCTTAGATGAGCCGTTAAATTTGTGAATGTTGAAAAACTTTAAATCTAAAACAGATTCAAGTCAATTGTGTTATTATTTAATCTTTTCGCAGCTTTACACGTCTTAGTGAAGTGGAAAATATATTGAGCCCAGGTAAAATTAATCCGTATTCTTTTTTCATTACCTTTGTGGATAATATCATCGGTTGAGTAGCAGAGAGTGAGGCTCTAGTTAAGCTTAAAACCCAGAATTTTAAATTAGGTTCAATAGATTCATCGATTTTATCAGATGAAATATGATTTCAGGACACTTGGACATCAACGCCCACGCTTGTGTAACTGGGAAACCCATCAACCAAGGTGGTATTCATGGTAGAATATCCGCTACTGGCCGAGGTGTCTTTCACGGATTAGAAAATTTCATAATGGAAGCAAATTACATGAGCATGATTGGAACAACTCCTGGTTGGGGTGGCAAGACTTTCATCGTGCAGGTTTGAAATTTTTGTCGCAAGGGATAGAATTAACTGAATCAAAGTTTTTGCGTAAGGGCGTAAGTCAGGGTTGCAATGTCTTTTAAGAGCCGAAGACAGTTATTTTGCATGGTTGAACAGATTTGGGAAATTTCTCCAAAAAAAATGATTACTTTCCTTCTTATGACTCAGCATACTCAACTCAGTAAAACATTTGTTTACATGTGGCAAAACGAACTGTCCTTGTTAACCTTGCATTGTTCTAGCAGGTTAAAATCTTTATGCTCTAACATTGACCAACTTATTTTACACCCCTTTATGCAGACTGTATTTTGCAATTAGGAACTAAAATTTCTGGCTCAATTTAGGAGCAACATTTATACCATTAGTTTTCCTATGCACATAAGTATTTTTACCAATGAGCCAGATATTGTAGTTTCTTATTGCAAAATCCAGTCCATACCATCCTCAAATGAACTGAGGTGCGACCTATTATATTCTGCTGTATAGGTCAAATGAAAAGATCTGAACTATCTGACAGTAATCTAATGTTAGTTAAATCCTGAAAAATCCAGCTCTTCATTACATTTTTTAAAGGAAGTGAAATGTTTTAATGACTGATAATTTGTTGTTTTCTTTTTCCAGGGTTTTGGTAATGTTGGTCTTCATACAATGCGATACCTTCACAGAGCAGGTGCAGTTTGCATCGGAGTGATTGAAAGAGATGGCTCCATCTATAATTCCGAGGGAATAGATCCTAAGGTAAACTAAGATGTTATTACAGTCTGTTGTCATGAATATGATTTAGGTAATACCTTCACGGAAGTCCAATTCTGTCTAACTGCAGCCTGATTGTTGAAATTAATGTCAGCACATCAAGAATCAAAAACCTATATATTACACAGCGCAGATAGGACTGTGTCTTGTCTTATCCTGCGGACAAAGCTAGTTAAAGTTTCAACAATCAGGCTACTAGCCCCTCCGGCCCGAAAGGTATGTAAAATAATATGTGGACACCTTTTTTTAGATGTCATGGTTACTTGTGTCATTGAAGTTACACCATAATTCAGCCATATTAATAAAATAAAAAAATCTTTGCATCTTTGATTATAAAAAATTTGATATTCATCAATAGAACACGGGAGATTTATGTGGTTTTTCCCAAGAAAATCCCAGGGAAGTGGGAGAAAACTTCTGTTTCTCATCTGGGAAATGAGCCTCATTCGGTGAGGGAATGAGCTCCGGAAAATCAGGGAATGAGCATAGTTAGAATTCTAGACACCATAAATTAGTGCATTTCGTGTTCATCAATTCAAAATGGGCTTCAATAGTAATTCCATTCCATCATTAATTAGTCAACTGAATTTTCCATAAACTTTTGATGAGATGATGTATCTTGTGGTGCCGAAATTTTTACCTCAAATTCTGGTCCATTGGTGTCTACGATAATCACACAAAATTTTCCTTGTTTCAATTTGAGTTACTTCTTCCCTGCATCGTTAATGTTCTCTAAACCTAGAATTTTTGTTTATTTTTAGCAACTAGAGGACTATCACCAAGAAAATGGAACAATTGTAGGTTTCCCTGGTGCCCAACCGTACACAGGAGAAAATCTTATGTTTGAGCCGTGTGACATCTTTATCCCTGCTGCCATAGAAAAAGTGATCACCAAAGAAAATGCCTCCAGATTCCAATGCAAGGTAATTCCATCTTATTTTTTTCTCAAGCTAATAGATTTAAAAAATCAAACTTCCAAGCTTAATCTACTCTGCTATCCAAGTGCACTTGACAAATATATAAGAATGCACAGAATAAGTTTTGTGAGAGATGTTAGAGAAGACAGGTACAAAGAACTTTTCTCAGGAGTAAATTGTCCAACAAAGTCATAGCCCGCTAATTCATAGATTTCTTCCAGTCGGCTTGCTATTCTTTCTCTGAAAAACCTCCATAAAAATGAAGAAAAAGATGAGAGGAGAGCTACTCGGAAGTATTAACAAAGCTAGGAAAGAAATTTTTTTCTTGTCTCTGGACGTAATGACAGTAGTAAGTTATAATTATGAGTCACTTAAACTAATTATTTTTTGCAGATTGTTGGAGAAGCTGCCAATGGACCTACTACACCTGCTGCTGACAAAATCCTTCAAGACCGCAATATCTTAGTGATTCCTGATCTGTATATGAATGCTGGTGGTGTGACTGTTTCTTTCTTTGAATGGCTCAAAAATTTGAACCATGTCTCTTACGGTCGCTTGACATTTAAGTATGAAAGGGAATCCAACTACCATCTACTTGGTATGCATTATATTCAATAGTAATTTTATATTCTTTCTTTGATCACAACATTTACGATCATTTCAACACATGGTAGCATTTTTTCTCCTTATCAATTTTTTTAGTAGTTACTGTTTATTACAAATTTAATTATCCGTTGTCGGGTTTGAATCAATATCTTGTGCAAAACTGAGACTTGATTTAGTCACAGATGTGCATTCCTTTGTCAGACATTAGCTTGAGCTGGGATCATTTGTGAGCATCAAAAGAGATATTCTCACACAATGCTGCGGTTGTCAGTGAAAATGTATTTTTCCCCTACTCAAGCATCCAAAATGGACTAAAGGCTCTCAATCAGTTGTGATGGTTTTATTCCAGTCTTGGCAGGAAGCTGGAAAAAGGTTGCTGATTCTGTCATATTTGATTCTTATTGGTCCTATTTTAGCTTGGGGTTTGCCAGAGGCACGAGCGAACCAATAAAAATTAAATATTACAGCATCGGTTACCCATTTCAAACCCCCCAAGACTGAAACGGAATCAACATAACTGACCGTTTTTTCAGTTTTGTGCTCTTGAATAAGTGAGCGTATACCTTCGTTTTACTTACCTCAATTTTGAAGAACTCTCAGCTGCTTCCAACACTATCAAAATGGCCAATTGAAAAAAAAAAAACACCAGTACTTATGTTGAGAATCATTACTATTTTATCAAAATATTAATATAATGATAAAATATATTCAATATTATGCTATTCCTTTCAGTGCTTCTTCCATATTTTCAACAAATTTGTTTCTATAGCAGTCTCTATTTTTTGTTTTGTCAACAGAGTCAGTACAAGAGTCACTGGAACGCAGGTTTGGACGTGTTGGTGGACGCATCCCTGTCACGCCGTCAGAATCATTCCAGAAAAGAATCTCCGGTGCATCAGAAAAAGATATTGTTCATTCAGGGCTGGATTACACAATGGAACGATCAGCTAGGGTAAGATAAAATTTTTGTCCCATGATTTTGGTTCTAAATATATTTCTATCAGCATTTTGATCTCATGTTATAAACTATTCTACAAGGAAAAAGAGTGGGTATCAAGAACCTCTTAAAGTGCTGCTTCTGAGGTACCCAAGTCTGGTGCTCGAGTCAGCTACCAAAGGCGGCATAAGAATGTCAGAGAAGAGATCGAATTTTATTGACGGATCGTTCTGCCAATGTCAATCACCTACTTGTGCTGCAGTAGACTTATGCGCTTTCAGTGCCATATCCTTGGGTTTGAGACAAAGATGTCAACAATACTCTGGCTTATTGAGCCAATGTAGATGCTGTTTAGATAAATGTTTTTAGATGATGGTAAATTTACTGATATAGTACCAAATGACCAAATTGATAGTGAAAGTAAAAAAAAAAAACACATTTTGATCGCTAAGTTTAAAAAAAAAAAAATTTCCTTCTACTTTTTTTTAAAGGAAACTGAGTTAATGTTTATTTGTGATTTTTGCAGAATATTCTGCATAGAACGAAAAAAAAAATCAATCAATCAATCAGTAAAAGTTTCATGAGATGCTGCCCGTTAATTTTACATACCTTGCTCAGTTGTGTGAAAGATGTGCTTGACCTCACAACTATGTTTCAAAATCCTACAGTTTTTCTCTCATTTTTATTTGCATGAACGGTCAATAATCAATGTCTCTATTTTTTTTCCAGGCAATCATGAAAACTGCCATGAAGTATAACTTGGGCCTGGATCTTCGAACTGCCGCCTACGTCAATTCAATTGAAAAGATATTTACAACTTACAAAGAGGCTGGCTTAGCGTTTTAAAATTCTTAAAATTTGTCTGGATTTATCTGAAATTGATTGCATTTAGTTTTCATGTTATCGACTTTTTCTTTGAAATTAATAAGGGTACATAATTTGAATGATGCTTCCCATTTGCATCTGAAATGTTTATTCGCGTGCAATGTCCCATTAAACTGAGGCAAACCATTGCAAAAATGATATTTGATCTTACCTCTTGTGGATCCATTTATAACCGTACTAAAAGAATCAAATTTTAAGAACCAGGTGAGCCGCTTTTGTTTACAAAATTTCAAGCTCAATTTTTGTCCTTTTTACATCACAAATGATCTGTTTTATCTGATTTAGAATGGCATTTTCAACGGTTTTGTCTAAGTTTCATTTTAAAAATCTTGCTCAAAACTTTTTCAGATGTAAAGTTGTAAGTTATTTTATCCATTTTCAACTTAAGGATAACCAGCCATAAACTCTGAGATGATGCCTTTTCTTTTCTCGTTTATTGCATCCACTCAATAGTTTTTCCTTTCATAATATGGGCAAACGGAATCGTAATCACTTTTCACGAATTTTTTTTTTTTATATTACCTATGTTACTCTGTTTCTTTTATGTTTATTTCATATAATTCGTGAGTGGCTGTCCAAAACTTCTAAAGGTTTTTTTTTTTTATTTAGAAAGAGGAAAGTTTAATTCTCGTGCTTTTTCCTAGTTGATTATTATGATAGAAATTATTTCAATCTGCGTATAATGTATCACTCTGTTTTGAGGTACATATTGAATAATGAATTAAAATGCTGTAGAGTAAGCTCTCATATGTTTAGCCACCTTAGTATCTTTATTGTAGTGTGAAGAAGCAGGCAGAGGACAGTAAGTGTGATATCTTACCAAATTTTTAGAATGAGAGCAGTGCAATGGCTGAACTTCAAGAACATGGCGGATTTCAAAATGTTGACGCATTCTTTGTATTTTGTAGGATAAACAGATCCATATAATCTCCTGAAATTTTCTCTGATTTTTTTCTATTTCTCTTTAATTGTCTGATAAAAATTCCAAGCCATATTGTTGATATGTTTTTCCTTCACAAATCTCGAAGAAATGCAAACATTTAAAACTTTTTAATTCCAAAACCTGATTTTGGAGTTTAGTCATCTAACAGTATTATCATATTCTACATGTCATCGAGAGTTGGAAACTCTGATGAAATCCTCTCTACTTTGCTTGTTTGCTTCACCTATAGAAATAATTAAGAAACAAATGTTTGAAATGGTGCAAGTTTTTGAAAACCTGCTGCTGGACATCAGCATCAGGTGAAGAGTCCTAAAAGAAGACTCAAAATTCTTATTGAGAAGTATTTCAACATCACTTTGTAATGTGATATGTTGAGTTCCTCCATGAATATGCTTTTTTGTTATTCCTTATTGTTTTTTCTCTTGTATATTTTCCTTAAGCTTTATTAATGAATTTTTGACTTGTGTTTATGTGTGCGGATGTTTGTTTTTGCTTTTATCTATGCTTCTATAAATAATGGAAAATCTTTGCCAATATTTTCAAAGTAGTGCGGTTCAGTTTGTAGGTGGAACTTAACGCAAGTATTTAAACTTAGTGGCTTGTCAATGCCATTCATTATAATTTCAATTTTCTCAGCTGTGGAGGTTTGCTCTTCTGAATTTTATGCCCTTTGAATCCAGTTATTAACTTATTGTTTGCTTCAAAGATATGTAATAACTTGCCAACATATTACTATCCTTCTCACATGTCACCTGCACCAAACCAAGTGAATTTGTTTTACAAATTAGTCAGCTAATTTTCAGAAATATTGACGAACAGCACAAAAATAAACTACTAATCTATTGAATTAATCTAATACACGATTGTCAACTTGAATATTCGAAAGGATTTACAATTGACTTTAACCCCCTAAATTCTTTTTTTCTCTTCCTTTTCTTCTTTTAGCTCTCATTTTTAATTTTTTTCCCCATTAGATTGATCGACACTCGGTTCTTGTATATCAACATTATGGATTGTCCAAAAAAAAAGATAGATATGAATCTGTTTTTTTGCTGAAGTTTTGATACATTGCCACTGTCTTTTTTGTATTGTTTTAAGTGACGTAATGTAATCCGGCTTATACCTGTCAGGGAGAAGGTCCAAGATAATTCAGCTTGTATCTACCTTTTGTTTCTCTTGTTCAGAAATAATTATCCGGTCTGTAAGTCATTCTTTTTAACTATGTTCTCGTTAGTTTTTCATTTAATATTATCAAGGACCATTATTTTATCATGTGCTACAAAGTAACCGAACATCACCAAAAAATAAAAATTGTCAATGATACCCCTGAAAAGTGTGTTCCTCACATCTGAAGTTATAACCTAACAATTTTGCTAGATTGTATTTTAGTTCTGTCAATGTCAATACCAAGTTATAAAACGGGATGAAAATCTGTGGTCTTCATTTCTAATCTTAAATGATGCAGAAAGCAAAACCAATATGAATAATCTCTTGCCTCCTTTTCAAAGTCAACCAACTCATTTGACATGAACTCTAGCAAATCATCGAAAATCTACCTTTTAGTACCCTTAAGGATTCATTTCAACACTTGTCTACTCTTAGTCGAATTTAGTAACATTTTGTCGTAAGAAACCTTCATTCATAGGGAATTGTAAAATCAACAACTGCTTTAGTAAGAAAACTTGTAAAATAAAGACAGGGCTTCAAGGAAGATTGCCACGAGCAGTCAATCATCTATTGCAAGAAGCAACGTACAAGAAAGCAATAACTATGAAAAGATGTTTCTTTCAAACAAGAGTCTCATCAGTTTTGCTTTCAACATTGCAGTGCAGCGGGCTGATTTTTGAAATTGATAAACAAAGTCATAGACAGAGAGGATAAAGGAAAAATGGAGTGATCCCATTTTTCCATCATTTTTGCCCACAGGCCTATCGAAACTACCCATTTTAACCAATAGGATTGTTCCATTTTCACTTTGTCTTTCTTTATCAATTTCAATAATCAGCCTGCATATATCTAATAGGGTTCCGCGTCTGTGAAAGAGTATCAAACATCCTAACGCCTCCCATCATTTCTATCTCGTAAATTTTCACCATTTTTCCTCTTTATCTTTAAAGGTCTTGATTTGCTTGCAAAAAATAAAAACTTTAAACCACCAACCCGCAGATCGGATTGATGCGGATAAGCGTTGGGTCATGATAAACATGCTCCCAGTCCCTTATAGAGAGTTGCTCCAATGCATTTTAGATTATTTTTAAAACCAGTTAGATTTGGTATAATTTGCAAATTATCAATATTTTAAGTTGCAAATTCTTCAACATTCCAGTCCCCAGCCAGAAATTCACTGCTTTATCTCACAACGCTTTGTAATCAGTATTTTGTTTGGATGATTGATTTTCTTACAAACGCCTTTTTCCTGATCTACCTCTTTTTATTTTTGCACAGCTTATTCTACTTGTTGGAATGTTGTCGGCAAATATATTTTTTGCTTTTTTATTTTTAATCATGTTAGTGATTCGCTCAATTTTCTTATCGTTAAATACTTAGCGTGCATTTTCATTTTATGAATAATGAGTATCACATATTGCAGAAGGACAAGTGCCATAGAGTCGAAAATCTATAAAACTTTGGAAAGATGAAATTGTGAAAACCGTTTGGAATTTGTCAGAGAATTTTTTGTGTGTTAAGTAATGAAATTCAATGGTTTTGTGTTGTGTCAGTTTCAAGGAATTTAGTATGAACCATGTAAATTTTAGAACTCTCTGTGTGACAGGTCTTAAAAATGAAACCGTTTACAGAGAGACAGATTGATCCTCATCAAGAAATACTTCCTGGAGCAGCGCTCCTACTGTCCTCAAACAAACGTATAATTTAACTGTATCCTCATTTTTGCTAAATATATTGATCCTTTTGAATTGATTTCTTTTCTATGTTTTACTCTTTCATTGCTTATTCCTGCTGTACAGACAAGACGCACTTTTTGGAGGAAGTCTGCTTAGAAAGTTTAAAAATTTTCTTATCAGGTAGTTGACTCATGGACAACTAAAGAAGAGTTTCAGGATTCTCGTTTGTTTAGTTTTAATAATTGTGTGACTCTAACTGTAGAAAAAAGGGGGAAGCAAACACTAGTAAATCTGTTGACACGAACAGATACTTTTATCTATGTGTTTAAATTGATAGGAAGGCAGCGCCCGATAACTTAGTATCCTCCATTGCTATGCATGACTATAAATGAATTTTTCTCCAAAGATTTTTTCAAGAAAATATAAAATTGGATCTAAGGAAATCAATTTTTTTTTTCAGAATTGTGAAGACACCCTTGTGTAAGAAATTTTAATATTGGGCTAAAAATTTTTTTATACATGAATATTCCTATAGCACAACTTAGTTTTTGACATTAGGTGTTAGTGTCTTATTCTAATTTGGCTGGCTTGTTTTTTTTTCCATGATTGAAATTTTCAGTTTCTATTGATCTGTTTGGGTAAATTTAAGCTGCAACAAGATGAAAACAATACTTCCTTCATTTTGTGTCTCAATTTATTCATATTCTCTAAAATCAGTCAGTTCAAAAACAACTCATCTTGGAGTCAGTAGATTCTATCTCCACATCAAATGCATTTTTCGTTCTGAACAGTCTCGAGTGTTAAAGGTCTTCTATAGGTGCTCCTTGAACATGAACAGTGTTTTCTTGGCTTAACTCTTCCGTTTCTTTATCAGTTATCATGAGCTTTGAAAAATTTCATTTTCCAAGATGGGTTGTTTTCAGACTGATGGATTCAATTAGTTGAAAGATCTTGAAAAAGATACACGCATGTCAGATTTTGCTAAGATGGTGCAACTTTGGCCTTGTCACTGATGGGAAAATGAAGTTGTATCCATAAAATTTAAAAAGATTGTTTCCTTCGTAAAATTAGAGACATGGTGATACTATACTCTCCATAGAATGAGAGACAAGTAGAGAGTTGCTCAATCTGCATGATCTTTGGCAAATCAACTATTAGAATAATTAGAGGGGTTGAGGAATTTGAAGACTAAGGAGAGGCAATTGAGTACAAAATTCACCTTAAGATAATTTATTAGGTCAAACAAGTCCTCAGATAAAAAAATAACAAAACTTTACATAAACCTATTTCGCAGAGGCAGCTGCTTTTTTGCTTGCGGCAGCAGCGATTTTCCTTTGTTTCTTGGTTTGGGTTTGTCTAATACCTTCACGGAATCCATTCCTGTGGAAAAAAGAAAAGAGAATTAGGAAAATAAAGCAAGTGGTAAATAAGTGACACTTCACACAGTAATCATTGGCTCTCAGTTGAGTAATAATTATGACTCTTGACGGCATCATTGAAAACGTCACATTGATACTATGGATTAGGAAAGTGGAGGTTCTTAAACAGAGGAACAGCTCACGGAAGGCAATGTCAATGGAATGGCTAAGTTCACTGCAAAGGCTGGATCACAGGAAAAGGTTCAAGCCTAGGGGTGCAGAAAGTTCTGAAGTGCCGACTGTTTGCTGCAATCCGGCGATTTTGCCTCATAGTCATATGTCCCATTTGAAAGCAAAATGCTTTATTTCCGAACAAAAAGTGTAATTTTTTCCTCTTTTTTGAAGCATGGAGCAAAAGAAAAAACTGCAATCTTGAGAACTCAAGATTTTGCACCCCTCCTCATAATGATGAATCCCGCTCAGTAACATAAACTATTCTAGGTTAAATAATCAAGCCAAAATTTAACTGTAAAATAATGGACACAGGCAGCCTCTCGCATAACTCCACCCACTATCCACCTCATTCATGATAAACCATATGCCATTGCTTTCACTTTACTACTGATATGGAAAGAGAGAAAACAAATGAAAGTCGTCTTAGCCAAGTAAAGGACGATAGTCCTTTTGCATGAACCTGAGGAATCATTCTCAACCAAAAAAATCTGCAAAACTCATAGAAATGAAAGGAGGATTCTACTTGGGAAATAGAAGTGAATTCAATACAGTGATGGGTACAGGGTTGCCACAGAATTGAAAAAATAAATTCCAGCGACACTTCCCTGATTTCCAGGACATATTTTGGTAAAATTCTCAGATAGTAGAAAATATCCCAGATGGTTAGAAAACATGATTTGAAATAGCGTTCAGGCAAAATTTGCTGTTAAAACGTTAAAGCCATTCTAGAGAGCAATTAGAGGTGACTTAATGTTTCCTTGACATTTGCAGGTTTTCCTTAACTTACTAAAATTCCCTGACATTTCTTCGCCGTTTTCCCTAACTGAGGCAAACCTGTCTGCGTCACACGCAACATTTTTCCCACTTGGCGTAATTTTCCTGAATTTTACCGATTTTTTGGTTTGGCATGATTCTTTGAGCTGATGCACAAGGGCTTCCATCATTTTTTGGCTAAAAAGTAAAAACTTAAACGTAAAGTATGGAGACTTTTGACTTAATGGATACCATACATCACAGGCCAATTCTAACATGCCAAGAACCCAGGACAAAAAACCTAAAAACATTCTTTTGCCTCACAATAAAAAAGTTGAATAAGCGAAATACTTCCTTCACATTGGAGTAGAAATTCGGTGAGCTGAGAATGTACTAATTTTGACAGCAATTAATTCTCTTGAGTAACAAGTTTTCTTAGTTTATCAGTTGTGAAATAATACTTAAAGAATTGACCTCTTTGATTTTAAGTAATAATAAAAAAGTCAAAGTTATTTACCTGAATCTCCTGTAAACTATCTTTAGGTGGCGCAGACGTCCGGTTCCTGTGGTCTTTCGGTTCTGGGCCTTTTTACTCCAGTTGTCTAGAAAAGAAAAAGAGACCATGAGATTACGAAAGAAAATAAAAAAATGCTCACAATTTTGAGAATTTATTGGGTGTAAGTGCTGCCTGATGAATTAAGTTATCCATTTCTACTCGTCATCTGACAAATTACTCAGGAGAAGATGTAGCAGATAGTTGAAATAAACAAGAAAACCACCAAGAGATTTCTGACAAGTTTAAAGAATAATGCAGAACTGAATGTGACTAATTTTAGCTCCAATGAGCTTTCTAAAACCGTGTCTTTGGTGACTTGGAAATTAAGTTTTTCAGCAAAACTTCAATTGAATGAAAAACAGAAAAAAACTCTATTTAGGTGTAGGTGCTTTCCGAAACTAAATAAGAATAAATTTGTGCAATGACTATTTGTACAAAAATAAATTACGATGTTACTGAAGTTGTTCAAAACCTACTTCAGAGTTTAGCAGAGTAAAGTGTGAAAAAACTAAAGGAATACATTCTGAATACTAAGAAATTTGACGCCACATTAATTCCAAATTTTTTTGGAGTGATGCAAGTACTATACAATCTCCTGAGTGAGATGGATTTATAGAATTGAAATCTCTATGAGCCAATCTCGAAGAAATTAGGACTGAAAGTTGCATTTTTTGACAGTTTAACACAGAATATCAAGTAGAAAAATGTACAGGATTGAGAGGAAAGCAACTTTCAACTCGTCTTGCACCGACCAGGGAGATCAGAATTGCTGTTGACTTAATAGTTTGAAACAAGAGGATCTGCATCTTTCACTCAATGACAGTGCCTTAAATATGTATGTATGGTAAAACTTGTTAAATTGCTGGAAAATGCACTATTCAGACCCAGTTTTTCAAGATCAGTACATGGAAAGTTCAATTTTAAAAGCTAATAGTTTTCAGGGGGTTGTAAGAAACATCATATCTCATCATAATGAACATCATAGCTTAAAGCCACAGAGAGGATTATCTATCATCACAAGGAACATCAAACAAATCTGGAAATTTAGTTCGCACTGAATTTCTCGGTATTCTGTGCTTAGTTCAGTCTGAGAAATAACATATACTCACAATGCCTCATTTTGGCGCAAGGGTATCCACACTGTGCGCATCGTTTCTTTTGGATGTGATAGGAAGACCTGCCACAACGCCTGCAGAGCGTGTGGGTCTTATTCTTCCTCTTACCAAAACTTGAGGTACCCTTCGTCTGAAATCAAAACAATAAAACAATTAGAGGTATAAATGAAGAGACATTCAAAAACCATAACAAAACATTCCATATGAATGGGGTACTTATAGGATGCCACCTCAAGACAGAACTTAAGCTGCTTAGCTGCTGGAACTCTTGTCATGTGTTAAGACCATAGTCAAGTCTCATCACACTTTAAGTGCATGTACATGCAATGAGAAGGCTTGAAAATTTCTCATCCACAGTAATTCTTTTGTATTGATCCATTAAAAGAGAGAGAAGAAAACAGAACATTAACTATGTTAACCAGGGCTTGTTCTAAGAGTGCAACCCTACTTTCTTAAGTGGCTTGGGAACAACGAGAGACGAACTTTTGGTTGACGCCAATTCCTCAGTAGGGGTCCCTAGAACAAGCAGTGCTCCAACAAGCAAGGGATCACTCAAATAGAAACACTTTGCAAGGTAACTCATATTTTTGATGGCAGAGACTCTCCCGGATTGAAATAAGTAATGAAAAATAGGTAGATACCATTGTGAGTGAAGTAGCCAACTGGCCATTAGAGTGAGGTTAGGATGTCAGAAAGGGGCGAAGAGGCTAATCAACTCTTCCCAATTAGATTAAGTTAGGTCATTAATTAATGCGTGATAATACATGAAATTTATGCTTCCTGTTTGACTAGTCGTAAAGAAATTCCTGGTCAACGGTAATATGGTCTTCTGACAAGTGGACAAGAACACCCCGGTTCAAGAGAGTCAGAATTATTATAAACGAAATAATATCGGCCGTTTAGATCGTGAAAGCTCAGAAAAAGCTGCAAATGAACAGTTTTGAGCAATTTCACGAGGAAATTAAGGATGGTTTCGTCGATTGAAATGGATAAATAATCGTGGCACTTACCATGGTTCCACACTTCACTCACAAACGTAAACAAGGCTCATAAATGCTTGGAAGAGGTTAGATTTTCGGAGAATAGAATGATAAAACCAAGAGGGTGGCAATCAGCCATCTTAAAGATTTGAGATGACGTACGCTATGAAAGCGGCGTGACAGCCAATGAGATTGCAGATAGAGGACGTGCCTATGCCGTCATCAAGATCGGAAAAATTTCACGGGCCTCGGATGTTTATGTCAACGTGCCCATTACAATTTTCACGCTTTCCAACATTTTCTTATCAATTTTTATGAAACCAAAGTGAAAATTTCCTCCTAGAATTTGTGCAGTGAACTTCAGGATGGCTGATTTTGATCTTACCTATGTCCTCGGACAGTATCTTGATAGGCATTTGGTCTTTCCATTGCTGGAATTCCTTCCCGGCAAAGAGGTTAGTTTCGTACTCACTATCTTTACACTCATTATCTGGCATCTACAATTAAATATGAATGCCGACTGAAGCTTTGCCGATTCTACGCAACAGCCTCATCACACATATACATTATTACATTCACAGATTCCGAATAAACTCCTTGTTTCAACAGCATTCAACAACCCTACTCTGATATCTGCGGCTAGCGCTGTGATGGAACATATTTCCTGTCGCCTTTTACTTCATCGGCAACCTTTTCTCACTGAAACTGCACATGATTCTTTATAAGGTCACAGTTAATATTCATTAGTGTGTAGCGGAGCTAAAACAGCTTTTCAAAGGTCCCATACCATCATCCAGCCTACTTCTCTGTAACCCATCTGTGTCGGCTTATCAGGTATAAGTGATAACCTGGGGATACATTAGGTGCAGCTGAAGTATTAAGAACGATCGCGTTTTGTTATTCCTCAGTTTTCTTCTGAGTTTCTCATCATAGTTTGCCATCCTATGCACCTGAGTAAACCAATATGGTCTTAATTAAGACTGGTACAGGATGAAAAACGGCTGGCGGCATCGAAAACAAAACTAAAAATGATGAGTGACTTAGACACTCGGGTTTTATCTTTACCGAAGAACCAGTTGTCTACATGTTGTGCTTCAATTGATGATGTTTTTTTCTGTGGCTGTAGAGCATGTGTTTCATACGGTGAGACCAATGCCAAGATGAACCCAGAAGCACCATGACGCAACCTGTAAATGTACATATTGACTGATTGAGTTACCACTGCTCTTAACTATCTGAGTGAATTCTGCTCCTAATACAAGCTGTAATGATTTATTTTTTTCTGCTTTTTATAGATTTACGGTGAAATGGAGCTTCAGCAAGCGAAATTGGATCTACTTAACAAAACCAACATGGTTGATTATGCCATCGATATATTTGAGAAAATTCACCCAAATCAACCACATCCAGAGGTAACCTTACTATATTTTTCTATACTTTCGTTGATTTCATTCATAGCAAAGTATGTTTGCACAAATTGCCATGGTCGAACTGAAACAATATTTTGTCAAAACTAGGAATCCAAGAATCATGATTTTACTGAAAGGACCCTTCAATATCCTCATGAGGTATATTTTAGGTAGAATTTGATAAACTCTCTTGTTTAAAAAAGCCCTGATCAGAAGTCCTGCCAAGCACTTAACGATTTCAAGCTTAAGTGGAAACACTAAGTCAAAACACAAATATTATGCCTAAGGTAGGTAAATTGAAAAATCTCCCGGCCCAAAGCACCCTTAAGAGTTTCATCAAAGAGCAGCTAGATTTCATGCTCGAAGGAAATGTAAGAGTAAGTTTGAATGCTGAAGAAAAGTTACCAGTGTGCGAGGGATCAAAGTGAGTTTTTAACATTGATTTAAACAGGATTGAAAAGTGATATTTCACCTGGATGAAAAAAGAGCACGTTAGCATAACAACAACGTTTAAAGTTTGATTCAAACGGCTCAACTTTTCATGTATCTTTTCCTTCGGCTCTAGTGAATGGAAATTTTTCCGATTTGAATTACTCGGTAAGAATGTTCACAACCAAGTTAAATGAAAAGTTGAGCTGTGGAAATTGGGCCTGAGAGAAACAAAAATTCAAAAATGATGCCCCAAAAACTGTAGTATACTTAAATGAATTGAACATCATTTTGAATTTAGGAACTAAAATTTTTGACTCAAATTAAAAACAACGTCTAAGCCACTAGTTTCCCTATAAACATATGTGGTTTTACAAATGTGTCAGAAATTGTAGTTTCTAACTGCAAAATGTAGTCTGATTATGACGCGTACAACCTAGGACCAAGACAGGAGAGTTTAGTTTACATGCCCACTGAAGAGGAATTCTAGCTATGGACCCACAGTACATCAAGCCAAAAGTAGGCAGAGAGTGGAGAGTTTCTTTAAGTAGGTATATTATTCGACGAATTTTGAAGCATCAAAAGTCCTCCGTTCATTCGGCTGCTTCAGTCTCATCTGGTCGTACATCTTTTTTTAACTAAATCTTAAATGCTTTGTGCAGAACTTGCGAGAAAGAAGAGCTGAGGTTCTAAGAACTTTGCAAAATCTAACACAGGATGCATCTGTTGTTCTTGGAATTTTGAATAACGAACAAGTCATGAGCAACATGGAAACAATGAGAGAACCAAAAGCATTATGCAACTATCTTACTAAAGAATTCAATGTAAGTATCCCTGTCCATAATTCAATCAAGTATTTTTGTGTGAAGTGGCCTATGAAATTTTTTTAATTCCTCTACTTCTTAATTTGCCTTTAACTTCCTAGTTGTTTCTCTATCTCCTTAAATACAGTGATGATTTCATTGTCCAAAGAATTAGCTATCCTCTCATAAATTTTAAGTTTAATTCTTTCATTTTCATCCTCATACAAATCAGAATGTGTAGCAAATAGGAGGTTAAGCTGTAAGACATTCCTAAATTAGATCTTTTCTCAAATTATGTATTTTGCTAAGCCCCTTTTTATGCACTATCGTATTTCTTACTATCAGCAATTGAGAACTGTTGCAGCAAAATTATTTTTAGATTATCAGAAGACCGATCTATTAAGTATACAAAGTTTAACAAATCATGGTGGAATATATCCCCTTTTTTTCCTTTATGTTTTTCTCGCTAATTACTCCTCTTTTTTAAACTTTTCAGTTTCAACTTGGTATGATGGATAGTATGTATAAATTGGCTAAATTCAGCTATGATTGTGGTAACTACTCTATGGCTTCAAGTTACCTGTATTTTTACCTCCTGGTGATGCAGCCCTCAGACAAGGTAATATCAAATTTAAAAACTTTCACATTCATGTCAAGATTTCTCATTCTTTTTACTTTCTTTTCCAGAGTAAATCTGGGTAATAACCAGAATTAAGAAGTTACTAATCTTTAAAAATGATGATTTTAAACAAAACTTTTTATGACGCAAAGTCCACATCATTAGAAAAATTCAAGGAGTGAGAATGTTAAGTTAACCCTGAAATCCCAAAGTTTGCACATGGAATCTCATTAAACAGGATAAGCGCGGGACCGGCGACTTTGTCTGGCTGTAGCGAAGTTCCAAGTACTTCGATCTCTACAATAGCTCGATTTAAATCATGATTTTTAACTAGTTGTTTTCATAACTTCTTTTTTCAATTGCAGAATTACTTGAGTGTTCTTTGGGGGAAGCTGGCCAGTGAAATTCTTTGCCAGCATTGGGATACAGCTCTTGAAGATTTGAATAAGTTGCGAGACTTCATCGATAACAACAGCTTCAGCTCTCCTTTACAGCTTCTCCAACAGCGCACGTGGTTGATCCATTGGTCGTTGTTTGTATTTTTTAATCACATCAAAGGTCGGGACTTGATCATCGAAATGTTCCTGTACAAACCTCAGTAAGTTTCTTTAAATTGTCCATCGCAGACTTTTAAAATTAGTTCCAGACATTCGCTCTAATTATTCAATGCATGTGACTTTTGTGAGAAGAAGAATCTTGATGCCTAAGAATTTAGTATCAAGTTCTAGATACTATTTTTGAGAGCAATGTTTCATTAACATTTAGACGTAGGCCTTGTCTACGCAAGCAAGACCTGTGGCACTTAATAACGCAGACTTGCTCCCATAACTTATCATGACTCAGCTTTAACATGTTCCCATCTCCTAATAATGCCATCACTAGATCAGGAGAGCTTCTACTAATCATATTTTTGGTACCTTAGCTTCAAAATCTCTTGTTAAATTCTCAAGTAGAAATTCAACAAAACACTAAACATATGTTGGAATGAAATTTTAACATTGCTGCTCAATTATAATTTTGATGTATGATAAACAGAATTTTACACTAGTTCCAAACCTCACACATGAATTTAACTTTCTACAGACTTGCAGCTTTTTTCCTACAAGGCAGATGTTGGTTTGTCGCTTTTTATTTTCCTTCCGCGTTTTCCGATGTTTGTTGCATATCGTACCTTGTTTGTTGTTTATTCTGTTATCACTGCAGTCTCATTTACCAATTTCACGATGTAACGCCGTTTGCTGGTTTTTATTTTAATTTCTTTTTATTTTTAATTCTTTTTGCAGTTGATAATGGTGCCGTAAGGTACCGAAACGTCCTGCCTTTATATTGTTTATTTTTAGCCTTGTTTCCACTTTTTCCTGTGTTTTCGATTGTTTATTTTCCTTTATTTATCAACAAATTATTTTGAAAAATTACTATTCGTTTTCATAAATATTTCAGTTATTTGAACGCAATCCAGACTATGTGCCCTCACATTCTTCGGTATCTAGCTACAGCAGTTATTATCAACAGGTCGAAACGGAACATCCTCAAGGATTTGGTCAAAGTTATTCAACAGGTATTAATGATTCAAATTATGCTGCTATTTTACAAGCTTAATTTTTGCTGGACTCATTACACAAATCTAGCAAGGTCTTCAAACCCTTAAGGAAGAAGCAGTACTGTTGCATCCTTTAGTTTGCACCAAAAATAATTAATCCATTTATTGAACATCCTCTACCAAAAGAGACTGAAGATAAGGCAGATTAATGATGTAAGAGCAAAGTGTAAATTTAAAAATAAAATCATTTAACACTCTTAACTTGGCAAATTTCCTGCTTTAGGCCTGGTGGCCTAGTAAAGCAAGTTCTCAGTATTGAGATGCAGTAAGTAAGAAACAAAAAGAAATTATAAAGGTGGGTGCTAAGGTAGAAAAAGAATGGGACCGTTCCAATATAATTACTTATTTTTTCGGTTTTTCATGTGCAAGACCCATACGATTAAATGGATTTAATTTATCCGAAAAGAAACAATGATTATCAAGTTGGAAGTGAGAAACAGAAGCTTGAAGAACCATAAAGATTTGATTTGAAGATAAGATTCTATCTCTTTTCTCAAGGGTTGAATCTTTTCCTTAACCTCGAATTTTTGAAAGATGTATGACTAGTTGAGCTCGAGCCAACTCTTATCTCAACTTTTCCTAAAGATGGCTCGATTCTCCTCTGCTTAAGTCCGTCTAATTTAAGTGTAGAAAAAAGCATTTAATATAATCATGTTTCAAATTTGCAGAACTTTTTGAAATTTTGGACTTATTGAATGTGTTTTTCTAATTTATTAATCTAAACTTGTTCTTTTCTCTCTTTCAAAGGAATCGTACACGTACAAAGACCCTATAACAGAGTTTATCGAGCATTTGTACGTCAACTTTGATTTCGAAGGAGCCAGGCAAAAACTGTTTGAGTGTCAGACCGTGTTACATAATGATTTCTTCCTAATTGCATGTCGGGATGAATTTGTTGAAAATGCAAGGCTCATGATCTTCGAGACATTCTGTCGCATTCATCAGTGTATCAGTATACAGTAAGTACAAGCCATCCTAACTCTTTGACTATTTTTCTTCTCATTAAATGTTTTATGCTTCAAGTCAAGGAGGGGTTCAGCTATCTGAAGCATGAAGAAAAATTTTCTTTCAATCCAAGCAACGGTCTCTCTGTCTTTTCTTCATCCTCCTCCTCTCATGCCCCTTCCTCCCACCCCATCACCCTTTTTCTTGAAGGAAAAAGGCGATCACCCTAGGTCCACCATTACTCCCAGCTCATTAACTACTATCTTCAATTCTTTGTACTATCTTTATAGTTTTCAATAAAAAATCCAGAGCCCTATAAATTGTAGCGGGCACCTAAAAATTATATTCCTAGCCAAATGGCTCCAAAAATGTTGGCGTGAAGTTTTTAGGAAACCATTACAAGTCAAGATTTAGACATATTTAGAATGCCTCTAAAACATGCGAATGGTTAAGTTTTTAATTTAAATCTATAAAAGTATTTTTAATTATGAAACTGATTTCTTGAAATTCGACAGATACACAACTCCAATCCCCCTCCTTGAGTTTATTAATGAAATCAGAAATTCTCGTCCAAAAAAATCTTAGAATTTTCATCACCATGTAGAATATTCCGAAACCTGAAAGTCAACAAGATTATTGTTCAAAAATAATTTGTTTTTATCCCTAAAGAGTTTGAACATCTAGATGAATTTGTACCTTCAATAATTTGATGATGAGCAGTAATTAGAAGCAGTTCAAGCATGAAGAGTAAATGACTTTTCTAATGTGTCATTTGTATTGAATTTTTCAGGATGATAGCGGAAAAATTGAATATGAAACCAGAAGATGCTGAATGTTGGATAGTGAACCTGATACGTAACGCAAGACTAGACGCCAAAATAGATTCAAAATTAGGGCATGTGGTGATGGGAACTCAGCCTCTCTCACCGTATCAACAACTTCTGGAAAAAATTGATACTCTCTCCGTTCGATCCGAAGCGCTGCAAGCTATTATAGAAAGGAAAATCAAAGCTAAAGGAACTGATTCAGTAAGTTCAATTTATGTTTTGTTGATTATTAAGTTAGTTAGTAAAAACCAAAATCAATGTTGCCAGTTTGTACGATGAAACGTGGATACTTTACATTGTTTTGAATGGGAAAATTGCTGACTTCTCAGCATTATTTGCCGACAATTACTAGTTTCAACATAGGTCAAAGCGGCTAACAGATGCGACTTCTGCCAATAGTTAGAGTTTAGCTTCACTCAAATTACTTTCTCCCTTTGATATCAGATACGTTTTCACTTGTTAACAAAACATGTAGCACACTGAAAAAATTGTTCCATCAAAAAACACACTGAAATTAGTTGGGCACTCGCTTTGACTTGAGTAGATTTCAGTTTTGTGTGAGCAAGAGTTTGAATCACTGTACACACGAACAGTGGTGCAGAAAGTTCCAAGCCTTCTTTCAAATTCAATCAGCCCTCTTCCATTCTAACTGAAACTCATGATCGCTTCCCCTTGAAGACTGAAAAAACACTGCCAAATTCTTGCTTAAAGTGTGTGTTTTCTTTTCATCTCTTATTTTACATTTGAAATACATACTGAAAACCCCTTTATCTCAATGGGTCACTAAACCATGAACGAATTTTGATTTGTGAATACACTTTTCCAGAGGTGAATGAAGCATAGAATACGATGCGCACGTTCCAATCACAAAAAAGTAACTCAGGAACCGAGAAATACACCGTTGCGAAAAAGCGCAACTTTTTCATAAATCTAAAACGCCCTGGTTTTGCAGCGAACTGAATGATGTCATGTGGCACCAATAGACACATTTAGTGGTGACGTCACAGTGTGATATTGTTGGTTCGATATCTCGAAAGTCGAAATGTGCCCCAACAAACTAACATAACCTCTAAAACAAACAGTTGATGAATGAATGCTAAAACTAGCCTAAAACTAAAACATTAATCCGTGGGACCATAAAATTATGAAAGCTAGTCATTTTCCAAAACGTTTGAGTCCACATTCACAAGAATTGATAATATAATAAGCTTGTGACATAATACTTAGTCTTCGGACAAACGTTGTGTTCGTTTGTTGGGGCACATTTCAACTTTTGAGATATTGACATTAAATCGAGATGTGACGTCACACTAAATGCATCTATCAGAGGCAAGCACGGGTTTCTACAGCTCTTGTCAAATGTCTTTCTACCCCTCATTTATAAAAACAATAGGAAATCCGGAACTATATCTTCAGAATCAAAGAATCAAATTTCATTCACATTATCTGTCGTAAACGAGCAACAATTCCACATTGAAATACAATTTATCTTAACGAGCATGAGTGGAAAAATAGAGAAGATAGTGATTTGACCGCAGCAGTACATCACTTCCATCATTTTCATGCCATTCCGGCGTGTTTTAAACTCCAAGTCTTTGGACTTCTTAAAAGCGGGCATGTCCAGGATTTTGACTCCAAAAAAACGGAATAAATCACCACGTAATCTACTCACATGGTACTCTCAGAATATTAAATGAAAAACACAAGGTTTGGTGACCCATTTACAATGATTCAGACCAAAATTCTAATATTTTAGCTTTAGACCTCTATTCTTGTAAAAAACTGTCTTAACCTGAAAAAGCTGGCTTTCATGGTTTTTTATCATTTTACTTTTTGTCTTTGTTTCAGAATCGTTGGAGTGGACAAGACTTTTAAGTTTATGTAAAAAAATAATCAATATAATCTTAATGTTTTGTACGGATAAATACAGTGACTTTTATGTAATTATTATTTTGTCTTTTTGTTACTTATTTCTCCGTCAATCAATGATTGATTGCTTGGAAGGTTTCAGTATTATAATATGAGTAATAATGCCGCCGAGTTGCAATCCTTAAGAACTCATGGAACGGCGCTACAATGAACGGAAATAACAATGGCCGAATTGCGAAACCACTTATCTTTGTTTGCAACATTGTAGACTTCCTGTCATACTTAATTTTTTCATCTGAAAACTAGTCAACTTATTTCCTCGAAAACGTCCTTTTTTTTATTTTTCAGCAGAATATTCCATAGAAATTTCAAGTTACATGGTTGACTTGTTTCTCTTCGAGGAAATAAAGTAGCAGTGATTTTAAAGCACCTTATTTGAGATACAAGAGTTTCGCACTTTAGCTGTTGACATAATGTTTTTGAAATATTTCAACACATCTGAATTGACATGCATATCACTACTCTTGCTAGATAGTGTCTAAATTAGGTATCTACAATAGAAACATGACGAAATGGAAAAAGAATTGTACTTTATTGTTAAATGAGTTTACACTAAGTTGCTCCAACAGCAACCCAACTGTTATAATAGTTACCTCCATATTAAAATAATCTCTAACAAACATGATAACAATACCGTATGATACAATAGATTACAGTTAAATACAGGAAAATAAAATGATTACTCATATAAAATAAGGCATTAACGGTGAGAGACACTGAACGAGGGATGCAAACATATTGCTGGAAAGGAATGAAGTGCAATAAAATAAGGGTGATTTAACAAGCATTAAAATCAAATTACACTGTCAATGCCCGTCACTTCAATAGGATTTTATCTCAAATATGGTATCACTAAGGAGATTGACGGAAGAAAATAAATTGGGTGCAGTTCAGCAGAATCAAACCATGAACATCACAATATCGCCGAGAATACGCAACTTACTTTTCACTCGACGAATAAAAAAAATTTAGGAGCAAACAAAATCACGAAGTCTGCATGACTGTTTATTATTTGAATGAACGTTTTCTTGGCATCTCAAAGACCAAACTCTGAATCTGCATACAGTTATACTCAGATCATCTGACAATTCAGTTATCTTACCTATTCAAAATTGAGTTTTTGCTCGTAAAGAAGTTAGCCATCATGCTGAACACTATTTTCTCAATCAAAAATTACACAAGTGGCTTGTAGTGTTTTTGTCCCAAAAAAATGACCGTTATTTTTACAGGTACAATAGAAAAGTGGCCAAGCTTGTGCTTTCCGGTTACAAACAGAGCTTGAAATGGCATGTAATTACTCTTTTTTTGGTGGTTTCAATTTTGAGACTTCTTCCATATCCAACACGGCTCTTTCCATAAATCATCGGTTAATCCAGAAAGTGTATACCATATTAATGTACGCAAGGGTATAACACGAAAACTGGCAGACTACCTCTTAATCTTAAAATTCCAAATGAATTTTTGTTTGATGATTGATGTGGACCAACTGGACCACGTACCTACAAGTCTTAAGTTTTAAAATAAAATCGTTATTAATTTAGATTTACAAAATAAAATGACTCTTCCGATGTAACTAAAATTGATAATCCCACATTAGGGAAACTTGTGAAGTTGCACCTGTGCAAACATTTGCATCAAGATACTTTAGAAAAATAAATATGAAAAATAGTGTAGAAAATACACTTAAAATTCTTCGGCCTATCAGATAACAGTGTAAATTACACTTGATGTGTTAATCACTAACAACAATCTGCTTTCTGGTGGTACTGTCTATGAGCACTGTGGCTTTATGGAGTTGATTTTGTTCGGCAGAAAGGATCTATCTGTGATACAAGTTTTCAAAAACAGCGAATATTCCATCATGACATTATGGTAAGAATACGTTTTTCCAAAACTGCTTTCGCAGATAAATCCCTGCTGCTGAGTGAATGACATCCAAGTTGAGTCTGAACTCTGAACGATTGTAAAATAACTGACTTGTCTAAGCATCAATCAAATATTCATGATAAATTACCAGAACTTAACCATAAAATCTTATCAACAAATAAAACCTTCATGTAAGATTTAAAATCTAAAATAACTGTTTAAGAATGTGTAAAAGGAATTGATGGGGGATGATTTTTTCATAAAAAGAAAGTGAGCTTGAAGGTAAAAGCCCAATTAAAGAACAGCAGTCTTTAAAAACCACCTAGAGCTCTAAAAAATACTCTCCATCACGAAGTCAAACATAATTTTAAAGACAAGGTAACCTAAAAACTAATTTTTCATGTTTTTGTTCACTCATCGAAATTTGACTTTCCGTGTGAGTAAGGAGCAATACGCCTAGTTCATCGAAGATATTGGATATCAATAGCTAAAAAGCAAAGCGAAGAATGTTAAACTGTATTTTTCTTTGAAAAACTAGTAGGTAATTTTCTTAGAAACTGTCTTGATTTTTCTTCTCTGTAAAGTTGGCTTATTTCTCTTCGAAAAAATAAAATAGGAGAGGACATTTTGAAACACAGTAATGGAGATACATGGTTTTGCACTTAAGCCAACGATATTTTAGATACAATCCGGTTTTTTCTCATCTGAATGACAGGAAACAAAGGCAAAAACTGAGTAAATTTTACCAGTTATTGAAGCAGGATAAAGTTATTTCAATTTTAGTGGGGGAAACTTCTCGATACTTTGCATTAATGAGAATAATTGAATAATGAGACAAGTTTCTGATCGAAAATAAAGAACATTAAACGGTAAAATCTAGAGGAAGCCTTGAATCCACTTTTGAAAACTTGGAATACAATAATCTTGGAGAATAAAGTTTTTGGTGTTAGAGGTGTCCAAGCAAAATTTTCTATTACATAAAATAAACCTTGAAAACAAGATATCGAGAAAGGGGGTCTGACAACATGATTGTAGGTACACATTAAATTGTTGTAAGATATAATTACGGTTAAAAAAATAGATGCAACGACACAAAAATAAAAGATTTGAACAAAAGAACAAAGCTGTTAAAAGTAACTGGCTATATCAATGGTTAAAACAGGTAAAAGCGTATATTTGTGATTTTTCATTTTCAGTTATTGAATTAATGTTTTCTTGTTTTTACTTGACTAAAAGATTAATACCTTCTTCGATAGGTATCAACTTGCAGCAGGTTTTTTTCCAGTTTTGCTAGCAGTATTTTTCTTCTTCGTTTACTACTTGTAACGGATCTAATGTCATGGTTTTCAATTCTTGAGAGGGGCAATTATGCCTTAATCACAGGCAGAAATTGATGGCAAAACCAAAGAAATCTTCGCAATGACAACATATGATTCAGCTGAAAAACAGGAGAACATCTTCTACAATGTATCCTACAAACACTTGCAACTGTCACAGACACCTTTCCAACCTCATGAAATTTTAAGGAAAATGTTATTGCTTGTAAAGTATATTATGACGACTTTAAATTGGGGCATCAGAACAAATTTGCTGACTACAGAGAAAAAATATATGACTTATTCATATAAATAAATAATCAGATAAAAAAAAAACGAGAACTCAATTTAAAACTTTTCATCACAGGTTTTCTAATTATTTCAAGGGCTGTTCCCTTTCATGCAGTATTCACGATTGCTGCCCTATCTTTTTTTCCTTTTATAAGTCCCTATTTTCTATTTCATCAATTTATAGCTCAACAAGCGTGAATATACCTACCCAGAGACGGTTGTATTGTTAATTCAAAAGTTAAAGAAGATTGAATTTGTTTGGACCTAACAGAACAAATTATAAATGATGAGAATTTTCTCTCAACAAAAGCTATACCTAGGTCACTGCGGTAGGTTTGTTTTTACAAAAGAGGTTCCACTACATTATTTCCATTGTGACGATTCAAGGTGTTTAACTTCAAATCATTGACAGTGATGTCATAACGGAGGGCCACTGACAAGGTTCTACCTAAAAATCTTACTTAGAAAACGATTGATCCGAAGGGAAGTTCGGAAATTAACTCCAGACAAGATATTAACAACAATTTTTAACATGGATCAAATATAAGTTAAATTATGCAAATGACATCATGTGTATTCTTGAACCAATTTCAACTGTGAAAGCTTACATTTTTTTTCCCTAAGTTGTTAAGGTGCAACATTTTGGTAGTATCACTTTGAGAATCTATCTATGGTTTCGGGATAGCCAGCACTGTAAAAAGTAATTAAGCAGAAACTTATATTTTGTTCAGGAGTTAATTTCCTGACTTCCTAATGTGTGATTCGTTTACCTTGCAAAATTCTGAAGAGAAAACAAGCTGCAGAGCGCTTTAAATCATACTTTGTCTTAAGGCGCAATATACAGTTTTCAATTTAATTACTGCCAAAGTTTTTTGGTCGGGCCTATTAAATTTTAAGATTATGCACAGAGAAATTTGACTAGAATTTAAAAGAAGAAAATAGGAAACAAAATCCAAGACGAACTGACTGGATTCTTGGCCTTAAGATGAGCAGAGTTCTTGACCAGGCTCTATGAAATTATATCTTGATTCACATTTTTTCTTCCTTTCCTGAAGATGATTTGGGGGAAAAAAAGGGGGGGGGGGTTAACATCATTCCTTTAAATGCAAATGAAAACTGCATTTTACTTGTTGGGGAGAAGTATAAGATAACAACAATTAATCTTTATGTCAACTTTGAACAGAATAATTAAAAACAAATTATATACGAATAGATCTAATCCTTCTACTAAATCTATTCTTTGTCAGCTGTTTAAAAACTTTAATTAGAGAAAATTAATGAATGCCCTCAGCCCTCACCTTTCATGCCTTTCGATGAATCATTAACAACATCTCATGGCTGATTGTTCAAAAGTAATATTTAAAACCTTAAAAATAATCTAAAAAAGAGGTGAAAAATAATAATTAACATAAAATTACAATAACAATAATAACTTAAAAAGAGAGTATCGAACTTTTAATGCATCTGATAAGTACCAACCAAAGATACAGTGCAAAAAAATATAACATTGAAACTTCAATTTCTTCAAACCAAGGCAACTGTATCCCAATATATGGGCTTGCAGACAAATTTTGTCGCACTCAGTCTAATAACATGAATTAAAATAATCTTTCCCTCCATGTTCACGATTCATTTGGTGAAAAACTCCTGATAAATTGTAAAACCCACAGCTTCCAATGAAAATGGAAAACATAAAAATCATAAACAACAAGAGGTACAGGGAAATCTCACTAAGTCGAACTACGGTTAGGACAAAATCCTGCTTCAGTCGAAAATTCTTTTGGTCCCCTGACACCGCTAGAAGGCGCAATGTAAAAAAAGACCTACGATTAGGACCAATTTTGTTACTTTTTTGGAGTTGAAGAAACATTTTCGGAAAACTAAACAAAAATTAGATTTTATACATGAAAAATCAAGAAAAAGGAGCCATCTTAAAAAGAAAGAAACATTTCAAAAATAAATTTATGATAATGCGCACGTATATTTACGGGAAGTATGTAAGAAAGAGATTCAAAATTGGTGACTGTTAATAGACTTAATGGTTTTTCGAAAAAGAAGAGATTAAATTTAAAATTCACTATAAAAATATAAAATTTATGACTGATCCTTGAAAGGTTTTGGAAATTTACTGTAAATATCACTCACAATAAGTAACTTAAAATTGCTAAACTCGAATTTTTGAGCTTATTTTAGGTTGAGGGCTAAGCTTTTATGAGATGAAACGCTGACTAAGACGAAATTTTTCTCTGTCCCTTGTATCTTCGACCTAGCGAAATTTCACTGTGCAAAATTTTCCATCAAAGATTAAACTATCCTCGAATATTATGTCTTAGACCAGAATCTGAGGCTCACAGGAAAAGACAGTTTCGACATATTTTTACAGTTGAGGGGTTGGGCTACTTTGCTTTGTTGTGAGATGTTGGTTTCACTTGACCTCAGATGGTCACTGTACACTATTGTGCAATATTTTAATGCTCCATTAATACTTGCATGAGCGCAGTATTCATTTGACGAACAATTAGAACAACTTCGACAAAACCTTGGAGGTTTTCAACAATCATTCAGAGACGATAGACAACCAAATACGAGCGAGCAAAATCATACGACCAGTCTGCTGTAAGAATCAGATGTTAAACAACCAGGAAATGACAAAAAAATCTGTTCTGGCTTGGAAAAACAGAATCTTTACAATTAAGAGGAGGGATTTTTCTGAAAAATGTATAAATAACATATACTGAAAGGTACAATTAAAAAAAAGAAACACACATTGATTTCAGGGTCTCTTTCATATATAGGTGAACTAATTCATTGACGAAAGACAGATAAAATTTGTGATGGATTCATTTACAGGGTACAATTTATAAAAATGATAGGCTACATAATTATTATCACTCATAAGGGCAAAAAAGAAAAATATACACAAGATAAAACTGATTTGCCACATCTTCATGCTTGCTTTTTTTATCGTATGCATGCAGAGGCAATTTTGTTCAGAAAAGAAAATGAAAGACTCAGAGGATGATAGAAAAAATGTCTTGGGACTTTTGTCAACTGAACAGGCTGATGATTCAACTGTCATTTCCATTGCAGATAAAATGACTGAATAAGTTTGTCAAAGTTTGAATGTCTTCGAGAAGACAAACATCAATGAACTGTTAGGTCGATATGGTAGCTACCTGAACCACAAAAGGGCTGAAGATTACAGTTTCCTTACCAAATATAATTTTTTTGTCTATTAATGTTTCCATTTATAGAGTTGAAATTATTAAACTACCCCTCAAATGAAATGGGTGTATTAGATGCAATATAAAACACTTGGTTGTTGAACTTCATAATTAAAAGAATTCACTGTCCTTTCCGAATTACAGAGCAATTCTAAAAGACAGGAAGGTTACCAGGTAAAATTTGACATTTAACCTTAAAAAACAAACTGATTCATCCTCAAACCACAAAAGCAAGAAACAGAACGATAGAACTTATTAATAAAAAATATTCATGCATCGGTAAGAAATAATAGTAAAAAAAATTCTGGATTGAAGAGAAGGGCGATTTAGGGGAAGATTTTTATGTGATGATTTAATTAACAAGACATTGTCTTACAAGAGGTAAAAGAGAAAGAACCTCTAATGACTCATATTAGGGAAACAAGAAGTTCGGTTTGTTGTTCAAGCAACAGAAAAGCTGTTATTGAAAAGGAGCACTATGCGTTTTTTTTTGACGCTACAATAAAAGGGAAGTCACTGAAAGTCAGTGCCACAGAATGTAATTCTTGACCATCTTTACTAGTAATTTTATTTTGCTCCGCGCGTAGTACATATCAGAAAGAGGATGAAATGTACTTATTGGCCTTCACTTGATAGGATGTTAGACCAATAAGAATATTAGGATGAACTTGAAGGTATGATTGAATCAAATTCAGCAGCAGAGTTATTATGATTTGCCCTAAATAATGAGAATAATAACAATAAATAAGTCTGTCTATTTTTGAAAGTTCTCACTTTTGTTCAAAAGTCTAAAACTATTAACCCATACAAAAATTTCTAATTTGTTTAATACATGTTCAAGAGAAGATTTTTGATGGGGGAGGGGGGGGGGTGTACCCTGCAAGGCATCATTGAGCTTTCTGTTTGTGTTTTCTTAAATTTTGGTTAAGAAGTTACGAAAAAAGATGGTTGGAATTAAAATGCTTAACAATATGTCTTGTGTTCAAAAGTGTAAAATATACCAACAACAAATTACTTTGATTTGCATGTGCCTAATTGGATGTCTTTAATAAAATAGCTCATGTTTGACATGACAACTGGATAGGCAGTTCTTGCAGTTTCACACCTTTTGTCGGAATCCCACTATTTTAAGAGCTTAAAAATCATTAATTCAAATCAGAGGGAACAAAAGTTAATATCTCTCTGCTGAATTGGGTTCAACACACTTCTCTTCCTTCCAAAGAGAATAGAAATATTATATTGAATAGACTTTACAGGAAAAATTTAGAAACAAACAAGCAAACCATAATGTTAAAAATTTTACATGATTACACAATCATCTTGTGTAGAAATGAGCATACAAATATGTACATATTGAAGAATTATTTACAAAAAATTACAAACAGAAAAGAAACGAGAAAAAACTATTAACAGCCTACCCTTAAAAAAGAATTTAAAAAAGCGGAAAATTAATGCCTAAAACTTAAAAGGATTCGATCAGCCACAAAGTCATCAAGTATACAAAAGAGCATACTCCTTTACCCACAGAAACATCCACTGGGACTAATGTAATTACAAACCTCTCAACAGGATAAGAAATCGAAGCATCAAAAGACGTTTTCGTTACTGAGGGTGCTAAAAACTTTGAACAAACCGATAATTTCCATATTAACTTGTAGAGAGAGATTAGCTTAGTTCATATTGAAATTAGAATTCTCGCCAGCAAAAAAAAAAAAAAAAAAAAAAAAAAAAAAAAAAAATTGAGGTAAAAATTGGTCATTGATAGAATTTATCATGTAGCAGATCCTATTAGAAAATATTGGGTTTTACAAAAATTTCCTTCCCATCTGATGCACAATGTCTGTAGCCTGGTCAAGAAAGATTTAAGACACAGTAAAGGGATTATTCCATCATAGAGGATGAAATTAATTAATTTAGTTTTGTCTATTTTGGGGAGCGGGGAGTTATAATTCAGAGAATTCATGAGTTCACTGTGATCTACATGTTTAATGGCAAGAAAAGTATTGTGATGCTTGGTTTCTAACCCTGCCAAAAGGTCCCTTGATTAAACAAAGTGAGATCCACAAAGTCAAACTGAACCAACATTAACATTGAGTAATATATATTCTCTCACAAGGAAACCCCTTGATCCATCAGATAAGCACAAAGCTTACAACTCTCAGATAGTAATTATGTCAACGAAACCAGGTAACAAAACAAGCAACGAAGAGAAAAATGAAGATCACTCTTTCATATGCCAATAAAGGAAACTCATTTAAAATCATTGAAATCCTTGTGAAGTCAATAGCCACCAATTTTGACGTGCTGATTAAAAAATGAAGCTACCACATGGTTCCAAACAAAGTATCGATGGCCAAAGTGCGAAACCACGTAAATCCGTTTGCGACACTGCAGACTTCCTGTCTTATTTTATTTTTTCTTTGAAAAATTAGCCAATGTAATTTCTTAAAAACTTCTTTCATTTTTCTTCTCAGTTAGCAGAATATTCTGTATACATTTTAAGCAATCAAGTTGGCTTCTTTCTCTTTGGAAAAATAAAATAGGCAGGGATATTTTGAAATACCACAATGGAGATACGTGGTTTCGCACTGTGCCCATCAATATTCTATCACAGCAATTCAGCGAATTGAAAAATCTGGAGGATACTTCAAATAAGAAAGAAATCTTCATTTTAGTGACTGTCGCAACACACCTGATTTGTAATTCTGTCTCAAAACATCCAGAGAGTGCTTAATTTTAGCTCTGACTTTCAAAAACTATTTTGTGAGGGATATGAAAACTCTTTACATTCATTATAAAAAGCTTATTTTTCAAACAATTGGCGGCAAACACTAGGAAAAACTGCGGATTGAAAGTAGAGTGAGGTACACAGAATCCATATCTATTCCGAAACATCACAATGATGCATTTGTCTTGCAAGTGCCAATTGTTTTCATTACATTTAAGCAAGAGGTAAAGGGATATTGATTCGGTTGTGACACTTTGGATTCACTTATAATTGTAGAGGGTGAAGTGAGAAAAGGGCATGGAGGAACACCACTTGGACAGCATTTACAAAAATGAATTCGACTTTCTTAGCTTATTTCCAAAACAACATATCTGTTGCTATTGATGTCCTTAGACGGATTATATGATTATATAGATGTGTTCATAGACGTTGTTCGTCTTGAAAAACGCCATCCATAAACCAATTGAATTACTTTAACCAATATTTCCACATTACATTGAGCCACTAATGAAACAGTATCAAAAAAGACTGTTTCCTCATGTCGAATCATGGAACACTGATTGATGCTGCCACTATATCCGTCTATTTGAAAGATGTCTTTGAGCTGGCATTTGACTGTTGGGCTCCACTCAATTAACTTGATTGACGGGGTCATTACCCGTCAAGCAATCAATCTTTTTTGTATCACTAAGGGCTTTGCAATTATTGTTCACCGTATTTAAACTGACTTCTGATTTAGAAACGTTATTGGTTTGATCCGCAAAATTTTCAGAATTTGAAGAATTTTCGCTTATGGAGGTGTTTTCTTTCAGGCTACTAAGTTTATTGCTATCATTCGGTATCACAGTTTTGTCTTTTATTTCAACTGAACTTTTATTGGCTCCTGTTGAATTTTCTTCCACAGGAGCAATTTCAGTTTTATTACCATTACTAAGACTACTACTATCAATTTTACTTCGATCCCCATTTTCTTTATTTTTTTCTTTTGTGTCATTCCTATTTTCATTTATAGTTCTTTCTTTATCAGATTTGACTTCTTTCAACTGAGTGACCGGACTGGATTCAGATGAGACATTTACAGTTGTAGAATCATTCTTTTGACATACCGAATTGGTATCGTTAGTTTGATTAGTTGAACTAGAGCTCTTTGGTCGACTGGCAACAGAGGGTTCAGTTGACTGACCCGATGAAGATTCAACTGATCGATTAATATTGGACTCTTTAGAAGGATTAACAAAACTACATTCTTTGGACTGATTAACCACACTGGGTTCACTCGATTGATGAACCAAATTGGATTCTTTTGGCCGACTCACTGAGCTAGGGTCAAACGGTCGGTTAACTGAATTGAAATCATTTGGTCGACTTACAGGGTTCGATTCTGATTTAATATCACTACCTTTGGACACTGCAGGTATACTTTTGTTGTCAGTTGGTTTCCTGCAAGCTACATTCATATCCTCTTTAAAATTGTTATTTGACTCAAGAGCATCATCTCTTTTTAACCTTTTATTGCTGCTAACAGGCATATCACAATCTAGAGTATTTTTCCCCTCCTTCTTAGAAGGATTAACATAGTCTAATTCCATTTTTTCAACTTTACTTTTATCCACGGGGGCAGGCTTTACATCTGGCTTGCTTTTAGCGACACTTTCTGGTTTCTTTGAGACTTTTTTATCACATTCAGATTTACCGACAACTTTGGGAGAAGAATGTCTTTCAGTGGGTGATGGCAGGAACCCGTTTGCACAACCAACATTGTACCTACTCGTTTCCACTGTTAGATTAGGGCGCGTTCTCATTTGTTCCATGATTGGTTTCTTTGGCTTGGATAATGTTGGGGTATAGATATTGGGAGAAGAAACCGAGATTGAGAGGGGGACTGATGATGGAACTGGAGGACTCTGTTTAGGAGGGACGTTTTTAGACATCGGTTTACTGGGCGGACTTAAACTAGGGAATCCAACTTGGTGACTGTTGAACAATATGCTGAGTGATGGATGAAACGCGGGGGAGCAGAGAGAGGACATAGCACGCATTAAATCGGGAGAAGTTGCTGCGCTTGCTAAGAGTCTGTTGGCTGAATCTGGATGAGAAAAGGGATGAGGGAAACCAGGATACATTAAAGGATTTGCAGCGCTAAAGAAGGAATTGGGTGAAAGCATACTACTAGAGTGCGCAGGACTTGGAATTGGTGTACCATGAGCGGGAGTTTTGTTATTAATTATGGGTTTAGATTTAGACATTGGGGACTGCTTGGGAGAACCGGGGGTATAAGGAGGAGGAAGAGGTGACTTTTTTGGATGCGTCACAGTAGAATTGGGGCTCAGACTAGGACTCGAACACGCAGAAGAGACAACAATAGGGCTTAGCGTTTTCGGATCAATCTTCATCAGAGTAACACTACTGTTACCACTTTTATGAGCATTCATGTCTAATTTATTTGGGGGCTCACAGTTTGTCGTGCTGGTTTCAGCCGCCTGGTAAAGAGGCTTCACACCTGAGGCAGGCGCACCTAGATATCTGGGTACATTACGCATTTTAAAAAACTTAGGAGGCTTCACGTTAGTTTTGAGCTGATTAGGATCTTCCGAATTATGTTTCATCATGAGCAGCGCAGATCGAGGGATGCTCGGATTCCATGGTTTCGTCGGACTCTTCAAGGTTTTATACCTTATCGGAGTGGGTTTTTTACTTAAACTTGGAGGAACAATTGGTGGAGCGGAGGACGGGATTTTCAAAGAAGAAGAAACATCCGTTTTGTTGAGAAGAGGTGCTGAGGAGGTTGAGATTGAAACAATTGGCTTTATGCTAACTTCTTTCGAAAGACCTGCAATTGCTTTGAGACCATCTACTGGCTCTTTTCCAGCAGCTGTTGCTTTTGAGCCCGGATATGTTTTCATAGCCGGTCTCTGAATGATAGAAAGTCCACACGGTAGCCCCATCAGACTCGGTTCTACTTTACACACTTTCTTTGACTTGTCAACCGACTGAGTGGGTTTCCAAATGGACTCGGATTTCACATTACTATCATTGGGTCTCACATTGCTGTCGTTAGATCTCACTTTAAGATCCTCCGATTCTGGTTTCTGGACCTCTCTTGGCTTGCAGACCTTATCATTAGCTTTGGAATTTTCATAGACTTTCGTTACATTGTCTCTACTGATACTAATACTAACTTCAGCTTTCAAATTATCAATAGTGTCTTTTTGGGGCATTCTCGGACTTGAAACCCCGTGAGCGGTACTTTTGACAGTAGTAACACTGACTTCACAAGTGGTTTTTACAGGAGTGTTTCTCACATCCAGAACCTCATTTTTCAGCTTCTGTTTGGGAGCTGTGTTTTGACTTTCTTTACAAATTAATTTTGATCCATCCACTTTGGTGCGTTCTTCACTTGTCGAAACTTTTTGCTTTGTGTTTTCCGTTTTGGCCTCTGGTTTTGAGCTTTTCTCCTTTTCTGTTGGTTTTTCTTTCGATTCGGACTTTGAGGATGCTTCTGCGCTCATGACACCATTTTCGCTGATCTGCAATTGTACCTCTTGCCATTTTTCATTCCCTTCCTTCTCTACCTTACCTACTTTTGGGGCGACTTCTAAGCTTGTTATTTTATCCGTTTCCGATGGGATCACATTTTCACTTGCAGGAGCAGATTCTTCCTTTACTTCTGGATCTGGTTTGATAATTTGACTCTTGACCTCCAGTATTTGATAAGAGAGGTGCAACGGAGTTTTCTGGAAAAGAAATAAATGACACCATAAACATCACTAAAAATAGTACCAAATGGACATTTGTTTATATAAGACAGTGAAAAGGGACCTTAGTTTTTAGGAGAAAACTTTTCATGAGGTGTAAAATTCTGAGAAAAATTTTGAAAAAGGCAATTTTGAGTTCTCAGTAGGAAGTGCTCCTTAGAAGCCATTGGAACAAGTTACATGCGGTTTGATTTTTATTTTCTTGAGACAAAGGGCACTAGCTATGCATGGCAGAATTCCTTACTTCCTGTAAGGAAGAAATTCAACCTGAAATTTTACCCAAAAAATTTAACCCCAAATTAATAATTTTTGTCCTGGGATGTCATATCCTCCTCAGTTTTTGGACTTTCAGGATCACACTTGCGCCAATTCCCAGAGGCCTGATTATTGAAAGTTTAAAGGAGCCTGATGAGACATTGAAATGCCATATATTGCAAGGTTAAGATAAGGTTATGTCTTGTCTTGCCGTGCTGACACAGCTCCAATAATCAGCACGTTGGTTTTCTTACTCTATGCAGTGGTCCCAGAAACTAAAATTTGAATTTTTGGAAGATGAGCTCCTTTTTCGATTGTAGATATCCATTTTTCTGGAGAGAAAAAATTAGCTCACCGAAGATGGTGGGCAGAATTTTAAATTTATAACTATATACAAGTAAATGGTCCTTAGCAGTGGTAAAAACAAAATTGAGATATGGATACAACAGTCCACAGGAATACTTCACAAGGGAATAAGAGTAGTGAAGATTTAAAGGTCACAAGCTCTGATACAATGGCAGTATGCCTGCATCTTTCAACATCTTCATCACTGCAGCATATTTAGTCTATTTTTTAAAATATTCACATTTAGGACGTAATAAAATGTAAAAATCAACATCAAAGTGTCCGATGATTCTTTTCTTTTTCATGTCAGAACTGATTGTAACACGTTTTTACAAAAACTTTTCAGGAAATTCTTACCCTCCTCCATTGAAAGATATATGCAATATCTAGCAGCGATAAGAACTCAGGAAGCAGTTCATCTTTGGAGAAGAAATTGACCTTGCAGTTTTGAGTCAGTCCAAATTTTGAACGGATCAACTTTTGAAGGTGTAATATAGTGACTGCAGCAGGACATTGCAAGTACCTCTTTCCACAGGAAGACTGGAACAGGTAAAGAAGGCTATTGATTAAACATGCGTAATACACAAGCATTTGAAATACAAGCATGCAATACACAAAAACAAGCTGCAGTTAGTGTGCAAGGAGCAAGGTCTTGTTAAATGGCCCTGTGTTAGGAGAATAAGAAGGTTTGAAGACGTCAAAAGGATGATTGGAAAGAGACTGGCTAAAAATTGTTGAATTGCAAAACCGCAAGAGAAAATGTTACCACTTAGACGATGGGCACAGAGCTGACTAGCATCTTTTAAGGACGATGGATTATATGAATTGACTTTGAATGACTTTTTGTTTGGAAACACACTAATTGTTTATTTTGTTAACTTTCCATTCAAGCCTGGTACAGCAATGATTAGACAAACAGGTCTTCAATACCAGTCAAAGTAAATGAGTGGGGAGAGTTATTGAGTTACTGATGTTCCCTAGCACAACTGAACAAAAATCGAAACATTAAAGTTCGTATATATTCAAATTTCGCCCAGTGAGAGGTTGGCGACAGGGGGTGTTAAATGAGATAAGAGATTGTCAACTCCCTGATGACCTGTGGGAAGACCGAGCTTTGTGGCGATTAGGCGTCGCACAGCGCCAAAGAGCGCTATAAAAGCGACTCATATATATATATATTCAAATTTAACTTTTAGCGGGATAAGAGATAACACAGAGTAAAAGCTCTTTCCAGCTGTCTACTTTCAAAAAAATTCTGTTTGAAAACCTAGATGACAGCTGGATTAAACTGAATGAAAAATATTAGATTCAGATTGTCACACTAGACAGTGAATTTTCATGTTCAGTTTTATTTGGCTTAAATTGCAAGAATTCGAAAGATTTTTAAGAAATTGACTGCTGGAATGCAGCTCTACTTCATCCTTTTCCATTCTGCCATAAATTGAATGCAAAACGAGATTTTAGCAAAGTTTTCTTGATAGAATAATGGTTCTTTACTTCCAAAAAGGAATGACGTAGATGAACAATTTTTGAAAACCTCCTGATGCAAACCAAATCAACCATCCTGAACATCTTGAGAGGTAATTCACCTTACTCATAAAAGGTATTACTGACAGAATTAGGTTGGAAGAATCCACACAAATATGATCCTCCTTGGGTCAGATACATACGTAGAGCCTTATTCAAACAGAATTTCAGTACGAGACACACCAAACATTCCAAAATGTTTTATTGTTTTACGTCTTCACCTCAGTTACCCCTTTTTTTGTCTTTAGTTTCAAGAAGTTCTCAGGCTATACTAGAAATATTGTCTCATTATGCACTAAAATTTAAGTTACTTAGAAGTAGCAGACTTACCTCATGCGAATTTGATGGGTTACCATCATTGTTGTACTCCAAGGATAACATAATGCTTTCTTCAGGGAAAAATATGCTGCATTCGTCTGATATTTCTCCCTTTGCTTCATGACTGGCTGGAACATTTTCTCCATTCTTCCGATAAAATTCACGCCGACAACGCATTTCATCTGCAAAAAATTTAAGAAGTAAATATTTTAGTGAACAAGATATGTTTTTATATAAAGACCAGTAAAATACTTTCATACTTCAAGGGTATTACTTTTGAAAATGCCATTTGCTTCGACTTGGAATCTTATGATATGACACCCTTATCGTCATAGCGTAATTTAAGCGCATGGCTGACTTCCTTATGATGGAAGATACTCCAATGAATTGAAAACTTTTCAATTAATAACGAACCATGAAATGGCACTCAATCTGGCTCCAATCCTTTGCATATCTCAGGAAAAACCTGAATGAGGGTGGTTGAAGTTTACGTTGACAAGTATCAAAAACAGACTTTTCCTGAGAGGTTGAAGATGATAAATTGCGATTTCCAATGAATTCTAGAGCTTGAAAAAAATCTTCCAATTTAGTGATGGAGTAGAAAAGCTAATTGAATTTGAATAAGAAATACAGTACTTAGTTAGAGGAAGAAAGAAAGTCACACGTATTAAGCCAATGTTCTGCAGCCAATATTGACAGAGATAGCGCCCTCGGAAAGCGGTGAATGATGTAACCTACCGATTTAGTGCATGACACAATTTCTTCCACCAAGATCCAAATCCAAACATTAATTCATCAATCATAGTTGAACATGTTTATTCATTGATCGGTGACGCACACCTTTACACTGATTCTTCCACATATCGACAGTGCAAGTCGGCAATCACATAACTCGTTTGCGGTGTCTGAAAATCTCCGCGACTATGTTATTTTTTTAAAGGAGAACAAATGGACATGATTCCTTGAAGTTTTTGCAGAATTTTCCTCGCACATAGAAGAAAAATCACGGCAGTTTTAAAGAATTACCGTTGAGTAGTTTTCCGTTTAAAAAATAAAGTATGACAGGAAGTCTGCGACGTCGCAAACCGAGTTATGTGATTGCCGACTTTCACCGTCGATATATCACATAGAAAATTCAGTCCAAGGAAACTATGTTGTGCACTATCATGGTGAATCTATCCGCCTGTAGAGATCTTTGAAGGACAGTAACAATGTTAAGTAGAACTCGGAAACTTGGTGTTGACCCGATTACTTCTTGCTCATTCATAGTGTTCATTCATCGGAATACTTCTTTACATCTTCAAGTGGCAATATTAACCCTTTTCCCTTTCTTTTACACTAACTTTTCCAGCTCCTTCACCCTTTCATTTTAAAGTTAATTAGTACATTGGCAGCTTCACTGCAGAAGCAAAAGAAAAGAGAAACTTACTTTGATAAAGCCCCGGCACCAGTTTGTACACAATCTCTTGGAGAATATGATCAGGGCGGATGTTTTCGAGTGGCCGAGTTTTGTGGACTTGGACATCACAGATAGGACAATATTTACTTGTCTCCAGATGTTTAACAATGCAACTTTTGCAAACTGAAAGAAAATAATTCCATTAGCTCACCAGAGATTATTAATGCCATTAGCATGCACAATCTGCAGGAAGTGTAAATTAACGTCTATAAAAAATGGTATTTTTTTCCTCATAAGTTGAAATTGGAAAGTTTTGATGCATCCATTGTATTCTACGAAAAATTTATACAAGAAAATATATATTGTGATACTTAACTATGTACTCTATATAGTAATCCACTAGTAGGCGGATACAGGATTCGATAAATCTGTTGCTCCAGAAATTATTATCTGGTATCTCAACAAAACATTTCAGAAACATATTTTTAGTTTCAGTTTGAACACTCACTTGAATTCTGATTCCTGTTAAGGAATGGCTGGGAACACTATTTGAGGAAACAATGGGTGCAAGCACCTAACAGAACCCTGGTTCTTTAGCTATGAAGTACCTATATTTCTGACAAAATCTTAATCTTTTTTAAATCACGGAATGGAAAAACTTGCGATTGCGAAATGAGAAATCCGATTTGAACTGAAATTCCAGTTTGATGAATCTTTTGATAGAAATGGAATAAACAACTTACAGGAGTGAAGACACTCGATTATGGTTGTGGCATCAATAAAATATCCTCCACAAAGGGTGCATATAAGGTGTGGGTTCATCTCCCGGACAGCCACCTTCTGCGGGAACATCCTGCCAACTGTCGATAAATCACAAAATATTATAGACTCCAAAAAGGTGCAAAGGTGCAAAGATGATTATTGCTTTTGTAAGATATGCTTACAATTAAATCAAAATTGTGACAATGAACCTGCTTTGACACATTTATTCTCTTTCATTGCCGTTATGATACTTTACTTTACAGGAAAGTTTGTAAATAGATAGTGAACATCCACTTAGGCTGTGATAAATGAGAAAAATTAAAAGCAGGGGACTTTCATAAGAGGTTTCAGTAGATAAAAGTAAATTCTGGAGCATAAAATTGCGGAAATGCTCCTAAATTCAAGAACATACTCGTTCTCATAGTAATTTTTCCATAGGGAGCCCGATATGGTTCAAATTGTAATTAAGGAAGATTTAAGGAGATCCTTAACATAGCATCATAAAAAAAACAATTTTTGCGGAGGTCGAGTAAAATTCAGCCGTAAAACTTTGGAAATGGATCCTTGCAAGGGATTACAATGATTTGTCCCTGCAAAACGTACAAAAACTTAAGAAAAAGTTCTATGATTCAAACAACTTTTAAGGTAGGTACGAACCTACCTCAAGATTTACAAAACTCACAATTTCTTTTTTCTAGTATTTTGTATTATTTAAAGTAGTAGATCACTGTAATCCCTTTTAAAAACCAGTGTCTAGAGTTTCATTGTTGAATTTTATTAGAGGTCTGCAAAAATTGTCTTTTAATGATGTTATGTTAAGGATCTTCTTGAACCTCCCTTAATCACAACATAAACTATGTGAGACTTCTAAAGGAATAGAGCTGTTTAAAGAACAACTATGAATAAGACCCTCAGTTAAATTTAAGAAAAAAACGATAAGAAATGGCCTTAACTGTCAGTAACAAGGTGGTTAAATAGTGCTGGGTCCACACCATTTCGCGGGGAAAACAAAGCCAAAATGTTCTAAAATTTCAATTAGAAGTAAAAGTTTTTGAGCTCTAGTAAGTAACAGTGCAAAACTGAGGGGGGATAGTGTTCAGCTCGGGCAGCTAGCATTGGAATATTAAGTTGAGGTCACACCAAGAGATCTATAACGTTTTAGGTTTGTTTGAAATTGAAATTGTTTAACTTTTTGGCTTTGTTTTCCTGGCGAAATGGTGTGGACCCAGCACCATTTCAACACTTTGTTAAATTCAAGAAAACTCAGTTTTGAAAAAGAATGGGATAAAAACATATTGAAAAAAAGAGAATCATAGTATTATGTATCTTGTCATTACCTGTTTTGTGCAGATTCCTTTAAAAGGGATGCCTTCATTTAGGAAGATCTAATTTACAGCTCTGCTTGTGTTGGTGCTTATCATGGATTACAGAAACCACTGAAAAAAGGAAACAATCAAGCAATGAATTGACTTATTTCCGGGGTCTTGAAAAAATAAATTGGTGTCACTCAGCGAACACGAGAGATCTATATTGTGAGACTAAAAGTAAGCAGCATTTCAGTGCTATACAAATGTTTGAGTCCATACCAAATAAGTTTAAGGACTTTCAAACTGCCATAAAAGAACCGATATTTAGATTCTTGCATTTACTTTCCATGCTAAACTAACATCAGACAATCTTCTGCTGCAGTCTAAAAGTGCGTAAAGTTATTTAGTGTCGACTGAACTATAATTCATCCTGAGATCCACTTCTAGTTGAATCAGCAATCTAAACACCTTGTTGAGCCAGTCAAAAATCTGGGTGAACCTTCTGTTTCATTAAAGAAGAAAAGTACCAGGACGCTTTCTCTTGCATGCAAGAAGAAATCTTCTACAACATAGCAATTATATATTCACAGAAATATACAGGACAGTTCCTTGAAAAAATTATCTCATTTGCTACAGGAATCTTGCCTTACAGAATGCGATAATAATTTTAAAGGTATAATTCTGTTTTTATTTCCTTAAACTTTGTAATTCGTTTCTTCTTTGCTTCGTTTTAAATGACTCTCTCGTCTAAAGCGATGGGTTTTTAAAAGCATGAAACTCCAGATTTGCCCGCAATTTAGACCTGGTGAATGAACATGTTGATGACCAATCTGAACACATCTAAATCCCAAGACAACCACCTAAGGCGCTTTACGTTAAACCGAAGTGAGCTTTCGGAGGTCATATCAGAATTTTTACAGACACCCACTGTGGATATTTTAATTGTTCTTCCAATTCATATCATGACATATTTTAGATGCCCAAACAAGATAGGAAAGGGGAAAAGTTAGAAAATTGATGAATGATGTACTTAGGACAAGTTTCTTATCAAGAAAAAACTTTATAGATTGTGATTGTTCAACACTGAGTAAAGTAAGATTTAGGTGATCGCTTGGATCAGAACCTCTCAAAATTTTTGTTGAAGTCTTCCAAAATCTTGAAATTAAAGGCTTTTTACTCATTGAGAGAGTTTTGGTGAAAAAACAGCGTAAGTGGCAAAACGGCAATTTGAGGAAATTACTTGTAAAATTTACGATTTATGTTAGAGTAAGGCCACCTTCTAATAATAAACATTTCATAGCTTACTAAAAAATTCAAGATACAGTCTAAAAATTTTGTGAGGCAAAACTACAAGTGCACATGCTAAATACAAAAATAAAATATTTGGAAGAGTGCTGACTCGCTGACACTGTTTTTCACCTGTGCCTTCAAGTAAGGTCATAAGGAGAACACATAAGACTATCCTATCTAATTTCTCCATAGAGTACAAAGAGTCGTATTGTAAATGGGAGAGCTGGCGCCATGTTCTGCTCGACGAGTTCTGAGCCCAAAGTGAGCCGAGTTCGGGTCACTTTTTCAATACATGTTCAATCCAAAATGGCGGTGAGGAATACGTGGTGATTCTTATCTTCTTTGTTTACATTGGATGGCCGGGTACCCGTGTATTGCAAACAACCAGTCATGTATCGAAAAAGTGACCTGGCGTCACACAGGAGTCTCGGAATTCGGGACCTGAAAAATGTTAAAAAGTGGCGCCAGCTCACCCACTTGCATTACGACTCTGTGTACTCTATGAATTTCTCTGAGTCTGGGGTAAAGGTAGTTCGAAGTCTAAACAAATCAGCCTTGTTAGATTCAGTGGAAAAGAAAAAGCTGGTATACATATCTAAGCTGCCCTGAAAATTGCACAAAACTATCAACCTGTTATCAGAACCCTTATTTTGAGTGAAGCCTACCAGTTATCAAATCGACTATGAAGAGAGTAGTCATACCCAAACACATCAATACCTAAATTGAAATTTTTCAATGATGATGAAACTAAATGACCACTTATTTTGGGTTGTGCTGTCACAGATTCATTTTTACATTTGACATTTTTAGCAGATAACTGATCGTCAATAACGCACAAAATCAGGTGTGATTATTCTTTGTCCTTACACAAAATTCCCACAATGTCTCTGAGAAAAAAGTTTAGATATTGCATTTAAAAGAATAAAGTAGGAGAAGCAATAGGACACCATGAACAAGAAATGTATTTTCAATGTTTTGGACCAATAAGTCTTCCTGGTCGCATAAATTGATTTGACTATTATCAGTGCCTTTTTACTGTTCATAATTAATCAGGGTAAAAATTTTGAAAATGAAAATTAAGGAAATGACATTTTTCAAGCGTCATCTCTGATGGAGTTACAAAGTTACAATAATACTTCAGTTTCAAGTTCATATTCTTCTCATTTAAGTAACAATACTTGTGGGAATGCAATAGGGAGTAAAACTATCGTTATTCATCTGAAAATGTTTGAACTTCCAGAATCAAGCTACCCATTTTGAATGATCAGTCGGACTTCCTTCAGGGAAGTGTTCATTTCCTATTTTAAGATGGGTTCTGTTGTGTTCGTTTCCAGTCATCACTTACGAACCACTGAGCGTTCTGTCAAGACGTTTCAGTTGTATTCCAAGGCATGCAGTAAACTTTGCTGCAGGTTAATCACAATATTAAGAATTTGGTCTCATCAGCTTATTGAAATTATACGTTTTGAAGGTATCTTCTACTTTCTAAAAAGAATATCTTCAGAAACTTGTCCTCGTGCCCCAATTAATAATCGGAACTTGTGGTGCACTCAACGATTGAAAAGGATTATTAAAACATCTCAAAAAGTGCAATGGTTGAAATTTACGAGAGTGGTAGAGAGAATGAGTTAACCATTGGCTGAAGTAGAAACAAAAACACTTCCTCATACGAAAATAAGTACTAAAACAACAACTGAAGTGAAACAAACTAACTGGTATTGCTGCCTAGATAGCCAGAAAAAGCACTTCACTAAAGCTGCGCGAAAACGCTTAACAAGGCGCGATGATAATTCCCACGAGTGCAAGACGTTCGAAAATGTGAAGAGATGACTAAAATCAACGATTTAAACTCATTATCGAATATTAAATGCCACTAAAATTTGAGTGAAATAGACAGCCATATTGAATAACCCTGAAGGGCCTGACTTGAAATACTGACCTAATTCAAGCAAACACTTGCAGGAAGGGACCACTGTTTGCAATTTATATATTGACCACAGGTAATTAATTCCGCGGACAGTATCATTGCGACACAGCGACGAGTCTTTCAATTAATAGTTTTGATAAATTTGAAAGAAATTTAATTTGTAAACAGAACGTAGTAAAAGCAAGATCACATGAACAAGAACATGGACAAGAACTACACTGACCATGGAAAAGGAGGCTTTTTTATTGCATTGTATGTATATTCAATCAACTTCATCCTGTTTAGTGAGAGTGTCGTCACTAGCGCTCTCTGGCTACAACCTCGAAACTGCTACTCTCCGATCAACGGGAAAAGGTTTAATAAAATCTGCATTTCATTTTCATCAAGCTTCCATTTGTGCTTTTTAATACCGTAAAAGAAGTAATGAAGTAATACACTGCAAGATACTCAGCGAAGTCTTTTAGGTTTGAGCAGAGGCTCTATGTTGTATCTCAGGCTTTGGATTATTCGCGCGTGTCTGTACAGGGATGGTGCTAAAAACGCGGCAATGGGCGGTACTTTTCAATTCAAGATGAGAAGTTGAGACTTGCGGGTAGAGTACCTTGCGGGATGATATACGCACAGTATTAGTATGATATCAGCATAGTATTAGTATGATATCAGCATAGTATTAGCATGATATCAGCACAGTATTAGCATGATATCAGCACAGTATTAGTATGATATCAGCACAGTATTAGTATGATATCAGCACAGTAACAATAAAAGTTCTGATGATAGCAGTAGAGTATGAGCATCTCAGCACGCTATCAGCAGAGTAGCAGCATATCAGCACGATATCAGCAGAGTATCAGCATGATATCAGTGGATTATCAGCATGATATCAGTAGAGTATCAGCATGATATCAGTAGAGTATCAGCATATTAGTATAGTATCAGTTTGATATCAGTCTAGTCGTATCATAGTATCAGCATGAGATCAACATATCAGTATATTTGTATGGTAGCAGCATATCAATATGTGCTAGCAGGTATCAGTGTGGTATCAGCATATCAATATGATAGCATGTACCATATTATCATACAGATATCATTTAATATCATGTTAGGACAGCATTATATCATGCTGACAACATGATAGTATACAAGTAACATGATATCATATTGACAACATGATATCATGTTAATCGACTTTATCAGGATATATCTC